GCATCATTGTTGGTTCAATCATGGATTATGGCACTACCAGTACTTCGAAAACAGGATAACATGTAAAGATGCATATTTCATTATATTTTAGTGAATCTCATCTCTAGGCAAGCAGTCACTTGAATTGGCAGCATATTCTAAATAGTTAGCCATCATGACAAAAAGGAAAAATTACAATATTTTTTTTTTCTATGTTCCATTTTGATACGTGCGTAGGTATTAAAGAGTAAACTGCATGATGATGTTTCGATTAATATAAAATAGAACACTCGATTCAAATCCCGTTGTCTATAACAGTGTTCTGTAATCTAAGTATTAACTACCTGGCGCACTGTAAATAGCGTAATTAAATACACAGGAATGCCATGCTCTTAACCTGTTAATTTAGAAGTGCAATAAATTACTGTATTGCTGTTTCATACTACCACTAAAATGTCCTTACTATGAATGTAAGTTTTCTGACAATCTGCGCTGTCAACGAAAGATTGCACAATTGAATGTTTCCAAAGAAAGCGATTAGCATATACAAACATGTGCAGAATTGAAGAATAAATTAACGTACCGTAGGCTATTTAAGTTGCATCATGATAGCTAGAAAGTGTTAATAATTTTTTATTTGCTGTACATATTGTGTTAAGGTGATTGTGGTCCTCAATGTATTGTGTAACTTTATACAAACTCTCTGAATCGAGTTCTTTCTATTTAAGGATTATTACACAACTGGATTATATTGCTTGCCTTTTCAGGACATGCTTGTTCCATTTTTTATTTAACACGAAGCAATCGAACAACATTCGAATAAACAAGCGTGCAACAGCAAAAAGAACGATATTTTGAATATCATGTAGTTGTTGTGTAAGAATTGCCCATATTGGTACTCGTCCTGCCCTTTATATCGTTACTTTTTCAATTAAAAATAGCTCGGTCATTACCACTCGTATACTATCATTTCAACAGATAATTCCTTTGCTTTGATTTACTGATTTATGTTATGAATTACCAATGGAAAGCCTCGCTGAGTAGTTCGGCCAAGGAATCGTAATGTCATCACTTTCAGAGGATTATAATTAAATGTTTAATAGATGAAACAATATTCATACGTTTAAAAGCACAAGAATGGTATTGTAATTTAATAATTTTGCTTGCCTATCACTTGAAACTGCCAGTTAACTATTTACAAACTGCTTCATTTCCATAATTTAACGCAGTTACAAAATTTTGAGGTAAACTAACATATTTTTACTCTTGTGATCAGGAAACAGAATCTGTCTGAGAACAAAAGGTTTTTTTACCGAATTTAATAGAAGACACGTGTTATCGAGACTACCGTTCCGGTGAACATAAAACAAAAAAAAGATATGTCCTGTTTTTGGACTGCTTCGCACATCTCAACGAAGCTTTAGCAAGAATCTATCAAAATTACTGCTGGATATGCTGAACACGTTGTGGTATAAACGAAGAATTAAAGGTAAGTTAACTTTGAATGATACGTAGTGATTGTGACATGGGTAGAACGCAATTTAAATGTGGTAGAAATATAGTCAGCTTGTAGAAGAGCAATAAAATTGATGCATTAGGATAGCTGCACAAACATCTATGCATGATGTCGTAAGAAACATACCATAAATGGCGATAAAAGCAAGCCTTTGAGGTGGATTTAGCGAGGTGTTATATGTGCAGGTAGCAGGCCAAAATAATAGCGTTTTTACGAGACATAGAAATAGGATTGTTGTAATTCAAATCAAGTACGGCGATTTACTTGAAATCAAATGCCAAGTGATTCATTTATAGGGATGTCCTGAATTAAATGGGGCGTTTTATGAATAATTGAGCCCGGAAAGGTAAGACACCGATCGAAAACAAAACAAATAAGGAATGAATAGCTCAAGTGATACATTTAGTGGAACATACGTGTATAGTCGATCAAAAAAGTTGAAACAATAGCATTTTACAACGTATAATGACCTGTTTGATCTGAAATACACACTTGCCAACCGGTATCTGAGAAATTAAGAAAACAAAATGAGGTCATGAAGATCAAATATTGGAGACCGTTTAATGTGGAACAAAGCTCATAAAATTTTTATAATAGTTTTCTAATACACACGGCATCATCAATGATCATATATAATCACGTTTTTGTCACCAAACTAATCTATGAAAAATATGATTTTGGTTCGAATGTTCATCTTTTTGGGTCCTGCCGAAAAAGTACCTGACAGGTAGATGCAAGCAGAAATGAATGATAGCGGGCATTTTTATTGTGAGCACTATTATTAAATGTAATAAGATGTTTGGTCCTTTAAATGAGTATAAATGTATGACTGCTTCTCATAATACCACAAGAACGTTAGTTTAATCTATCAAAATTTTTGCGTGTTAAAGTTTTGAAACGAATCATTCAATTATTACAACTGTATCAATTGAGCTAGATTCTCAAGAAATGTTATAATATGTGTATGTAAATTATCATTAGAAGAGATTTAGATGCATATTTGATTTTTATTAACAATGGCAATATCATCATTTTAGCAGAGCGTTCTTGCTAACTTTGACATATTTTATCAGTGAATGGGCCTGTTGAATGGTTGGTAAAACATCAAGGAACGGTTAGCTGGTATAAAGTATATGAAGAACATAATTTAGAATGTTTCATTTTATACAATGCTAATGGTTGTTTAGAGTAAATTTTTGCAGTTCAGTGAGTTGTTACTTGTACTTGATGGTGTTTAGCTATGTTAGAGGACTGATCGCACTAACTCCGCCTAAAAAGCAAGACCTGTTATTAATAAAAGCTTTTATTAGAAATAACTCGTTTGATCTGCCTTTTGTGTTGTACACTTTTGATTAAGAGATTTCAAATTTTATTTTTGCTGAGATTGTACCTTTTAATATACTACTTGTGAGGAGTAGCTGGGTATGTTCACAAAAGTAAGAGTTGAACACTAATCTGCAATTTTTTTCGTTAGAAATTTGAGTTAAAAATTTTTATTTTTTGAAAGGCTAAACAGCTACTCCGCAAGCTACTTTCCTGAAATGACCATTTTCCTCACACCGCCCTTTTACCTGTACTTTCAATTTAAATTATGTTTCTGTTCCATTTTATATTTATATTAACAAAAAGTACAGGATAACTTATCTGAACCATTCTAAAATTATGGTTAGAATTATCTCTCGCGACAAAAATATTTAACACGTAATATTCTTGCATCCAGTATTTAACGATATCTGTCTGTGCTACGTTGTGATAACCGATATTCCCATGTTTAATACGCGTTATATACCGATGCATACGGGGCAATCAGTCGTTTCAATTGGTATCTGAAGGGAAATATATTTCCTATTGAGAGCTGTAAGTCTGTAAACAGAACAATCTATGGTTTAGCTGATGAGAAAAAGAGGTTGATATGCTTTGCTGGGCGTTCATTCCGGTATTGCAAATTGTTAATTTTATACAATGAACTTGACAAAAATATTTAGTGCTGACAGGAGACACACCAGCAACCTATTAGTAGTATTTTCGATTGATCTTTTCTAATATTTTACAAATAATGTGATTGTGTCTAAGACGTAGATTATAAAAAATAGTATTGTATCATAATTTTTTAGATTAGTACCTGATATAAGGACTACTCTCGAGAATATCTCATTTCCGAACCAAAAGATATAACACTGGAAATTTAATGCTAAAGTACTTGATGTTGAAAGATTTTTTGAATTGCTGCTTGTTCCTGTGCTGATAAAAATTCATTTAAGTAGCCGTGAATAAAAAATTGACAGATAGATTAGAAAAAAATGTGTGTGCCATGTTAAAACAGTAAAAAAGGCGAGATAACACTTAAAAGCATTAGAAATTTGCAAAGAAAAGATGATAAGTGTGATGAAATTGTTGATATCGTTTCAAACATTAATTTATGGATTGAATCAGAAAAAACGCTTTGTCCAGTAACTTAGAATGCATGCACCTAAAATTAAAAAATTCTAAGTAATTTGGATACGCGAACTAAAAACACATGGAAATCGTTTCTAAATTCAATTTAATTACTAACAATTCCAACTCGCTGATCTAACAAACAAAAACATACCATGCATCGAATCAAATACGTTCAACCATATCACCTTGAAAGAGTACACAGAAGCTCTCCATATGAAGTACTTGCTAACAGCAATTATAAATATGTGCATAACGAAATGATGATGACCATGTTTTGCTATATGCCAGTAGACGAAGATACCAAAAAACAGGCGAATCAAACAACAAATAATTCAGAAAAAAGAGTCGAATTGGTGGTTACATATCAAAATTCAACATAACATACTTTGTAGCTAAGAAACTTCACAATTACCATGACATGTTTTCAAAAGGTATTTAACGGATTTGTTTTAGCAAGTTTGATATTACCTAGGAAGAACGGTAAATGCTTGTTTTAACAACCAATAGATTTAACCATTCAGCTCTTGCACAGTTCATCATTCACAAATTTAATATTTAAATTCGTAACCATGAACAGTTTTTGCGCTGATTATAAAACGGCATCATCATGAAGCGATCTGTTGAACTGATAAAAATATAAATTAAAAAGCTTTGATTGTGAAGTACGCTTGTTCAATGGAATGAATAGTATGTATTTCTTGTGTTATATGTTTGTGGCGTGCATCTTGTCTCATATTCTATCGTATTCAGGTATCTCAGACACATTTGAAAAGCTTCTTTAGTTCTAACCGATGCTCTCAGGAAATGAAGAGATATACGTACAGCTGCTCTTTGAAATAATGTGTTATGACCAATAAGTGGGATAGCTTTGACCAGAGATGGTAACAATGAGTGATGAAAGGTATTTTAAGAAATGATTGAAATATTGATAGGTTGAGGGGTAAGGAGTTTAATCAACTGTTGGTGTACATGCCATCGTGGAGTAGTCATTCAACCCAGTACTGCGCTGCAGCAAAAGTATGTTAGCACTTGGTAGTGTCTAAGAAAAGTCTAAAAACCATTTTATTACAGCATATCGCACTTTTACATGATGAACGATCACAACATATTTAGCATTCAACTGTTCAACTCAGTGGCTGTTCTTTGCTGAGAACATCCCTGATCAAATCACTTTGTTTCTTTCCTATCAGTCTAAAACTGCTGCCTTCATCATCAAAAACTTTCAATTTACTAAAATCCTCGCATTCTACGATATCTCTCAGGGATTTGTACGTGTCAACAATCGTACGACTCACATTTTTAGAAATACCGGGTATAAATTCAAGCATGTTCATTAGGAATTTGTTCTTGTCCGTGTATTTCTTTACTTTCGGTACAAACACTGATTCTTTGTGGCGTATGATATTCTTCAGTGCTATTAATAAATCGTTTGCGCTTTCTATACAAATAAAGTTGGAACTGTTCTCCATTTGGAAGTTGAATAAGTCTTGTTTTACCGTGGTTAACTCATTGGCATCCTGGTACAGTGTCCGTTTCTCAAGTGAGGACAGATAGCTGTCTTTCGCTTTTTTTCTTATATTTTTTTCGAGGTTCTTCATATTGTACAGGAATATGAGCTTTTCGGTTTTGTAGTTGCTCATGTTTTTCAATTCAGTGGTGCAATTAACGACGGGAAAGGATCTTTCTGCCATAGATTCTAGGTCTTTTATTATCACCGAATTTTCATTATGAAAGTTGAAGTTCAACTTGAGATCATTTCCGTACCTCTTTAGAATGTCAGGAATTGAGAAGTGGTACAGTATAAATACAGGATCAACAGTGTCCGATCCTGCATCACAGCTAAAAATATTGTTACTTTCTACATCAACGTTTTGTTTGATGACTGTATCCTCGTTAACACCTTGCTCATCATCCCTCATTTTGCTAACTTCTCCAACCTCGAACCTTTTCAAGTACCGCAGGTTTTTCTCGTCGTCATCCTCCCTTATCTTGAAGGGAAGATCTAAGAGACTGATAGAAAGATTTGAAACATCTTCTCTAGCAGTTACAGGTGAATTACTCCACTTTCTCCTTCGCTTGACACGTTCATCGGGAAAGTGTTCGATTTTCTCCTCTGAACCGCTATTTAAGCATTTATGACAGCCACATTCCATACTTACATTTGTATCATGTGCAAAACGCCTCCCTTTCCTCTCTTCATCCTTCTTTCCATGTACCTTTTCCCTCTTCTCTTCATAAACAACAACAATGTCTGAGGAAATAGTCATTTCAACCCTTAGCTAATAAAAATTGCAATATGCACAAAATCACGTCCATATACGCCCAACAAACGCACATAATAGCACGAAAAATACAAAACTCATCATTGGAAGGAAAGGTAAACATGCTCAAGCATTACAATGTGCCCGTAATAATTTTTGATTTTTGTGGTGGCATACTAAAATACAACACGCTAATAGAATTGAACATGAGCTATTATTTTGTTTTTGACTATGAAAGTGTTAAGAACGAGATTAATAGCACGATTGAGGGTGATGATATCGTATTTTTGTTGTTTGACTGGCGACTTAACGAAGATGTGAAAGATTTCATGGAACGAAAAACGAAAAAAAATGTTTTTATACTAATAAACAGCAAATAGTACCATTGGTTGTATGTTCAGGAAGTATAATTGAAGCGGTACGTGAAAAGGGTTCTTATACCTGCGATCGATAGACCATGAGAAACGAAGTGATTAATAACAGAACAAGTTAACAAGTTGCTGCAAAACAACACATTGCCACGTTGTATTTCATGCGCAAGAGGACCTTTTTTAAATTTTACCCGAGTACAATGATTGGTTCCTTAAAATTGAGCAACATAAAATTTAACTACGCTGTGATTGCATTGTTAGCAATTCTCATCGTTTACGTGATGAGCGTTGCCGTTCTTACCACAAATGCTTTGATGTTGTGGCAAGAATATTAATATCGGCTTTCAAGTATGGATGGCCTTAATCATATTCAGCAAATTCTCAAGGTTATCGCACCGATATAGAACACACACCACTTTATATAAAGTACTTCATACAATCCTGGATATCAGCCAAAGCAACTGTGAAGTCTTTGCACTGCCATGATTATTAGTCTGTGATGTATTTCTCCGCGTATGAACACCATTTGGGAATGATTCCTGTCCCCGTATAATATGTTTTAATCTCAGAAGAGTGATATCCAACGAATATTATATTATCTTTCAGATCAAACGTGCTAATATCCTTGGATGACAGAGTATCCACCTTAGATACGGTATCATAAATATCTATACCATCCAAATGCGCCAAGAAACAGTGTCTTCCATGATGAATCACTTTCTTTGCTCCTGTTACCGATGATTTCACAACTGGCTTCATATTACGTAGGTCAAACATGTAGAAATTTTCGTTTGTCGCTATCGAAATCATTAAATTGGCATCAAAATCACCGCTTACAACGTTTTCATCAAAAGCAACATGTTTCACCGGCGCGTTCTGTCTCGTATCGACAAACGCAAGTTGTCCATCGGAAAAAAGAGCTGACAAGCCGTGTGCTTTAGAAATACAGAATGAATTCAACTCATGAGTTGAATTATAAACGCAGGACACCACACCACGCATCAAATCTAATCGATGCAATTCTCTATCCGTACAGAAGTACAGACTGTCAGAAAAACGGTTTAAGCATCTTCCAAAATGCGGTATCCGCAGCTTGTAGTGCACATTGTAGTTCATGTGAAATTCGATTGTTTTATCGTTCCGTAAAAACGCCAGTTTCTTCGGCGAGCGCGTAAGAAAACAAAAATCAACGATGTCCGTATCCATGCGCCGCTCGAGAAACTCCGTATTGTCCTCAACGATGTAAACTTTATATCGCGGCTGGTATGTGCCGGTGGCAATAATATGCGTCTTGTCAGTGTTAAGCCTCAGTTTTGTGCATGATGTCGGGAACTGAAAATCTTTGTATATTTGTACTTGTGTCACCATAGAAGCGAGGGGTCTACCTTCAAATATTTTCAGAATTGATTTTACGACAAATTCGCGGTGAATTGGAAGGATGAGAGTGCACAACTCTTCATCTCTGGAACAACGAGTAATATGCAAAAAACAACTAAATTGGAGGTGAATTGCAGATAAAGTACTCAAAAACAGCAAAGAAACAATAAGCAAATTTGTTACTACGAGGTGAAAGTAAACGTACTAAAACTGCTAGCTATACAAAGATTATTATCTAAACATATCCTTGGAATTGATAATAAGAATGTTTAGATTGTTAAAATTTAACAGAATGCTTCTCGTGCTGATTTATAGCGTTTGAAGCACGCACATCTCCGCATAGCTTTCATTACCATATCCTGTTGGTAAAACAAAATATTTGCAACCCCCAGCACCATGACTCAATTATCTGAGACAGAAAAGAAGTACGTCAAAAATAAGGAATGGATGTATAAGGGCGAGGCAAATGCAAAGGAAAGACCGGTGAACTCGTTGCTGAACTGTGAGTTGGAGTTTAAACAGGCAAAAGTTGTTACCAAGCAAAAAGAAAGCGATGAAAATGAAATTTTGATGTTGGTAAAAGCAAGGCTCCGCGAAAAGAAATTCGATAACATCACATTTAGAATAGAAAATGATGATGAAAGCGATAGTGCACCAAATTTCAAGCCTTCTGATGCCAGTGCAGTATTAAATTGTGAGGAAGTCGAGGATTTGTTGGATGTTCTGAATGTCGAGCTGATGAGAATTAGCGACTTGAATAACAACATATGTGAATTTAAACGAATCTCAACCAAGCGAAAGACAGATGAACATGCCAAGAATAGCAAGAGTTCCAAGTCGTCGGCTATTAAGGAACTCAAAAAACATAAGAACGTGCAAATTCTCTAAGTAGCGTTGTATAAGGGGACCAGCATCATTGCACTCAGTTTCTCGTTTGTAAATGCTGCTTAATGTGTGACTCGGATGAACAGGAGTATATGGCAGTTCGTAATACACGTTATTTTTCGTGTACGTAGCTGTGGTGACCGTAAAATTAAAATGTTGGTAACGATGCGTGTGATCGCTATGAAGAATGGTGGTTATGAATGTACTTCTGATACAGATTAGTGCTAGTGAATTGCAATCATGATCACAAAGTACTAAAAATTAAAATTTTATATTTTTGAGTAATTTAATTGTTTGGTGTGCACCAGTCAGGAAGTTCGTAGCTGTTCTGGTATTGACTAGGCTTGTTACAGCTAATAAACTAAACCAAATTTACTTACACACTAAGAATCACAGCTTGCTCTCATCGTTTGTTATCGGACGTATCAAACTATTTTTACATAGCAAAACATCCTTAATAAACATCTGCTCGTCTTAAATCTTCGCTCAACAGCAGAAAGGTTCACTTCACCCAATTTTTACTTTTGTTATGCGACCAATACTGTCCTGCACATTCATTTTTTTTAATAACCGTGCCAGATCAACCCATAGAACCATGAGTACTCAGATTCCCATCGTATATGGCACACAATCTGGCAATTCCTTGCATGTCTCACAGCTTATAGAATCAAAACTGGTCCATTACAGCACATGCATCGTGCCAATTGACGAATTTTCGCTAGAGAACTTTTTGCATGGCAATACGTTCATTTTCATATGTTCTACATATGGCAATGGGGATTTTCCATTCGCCGCACAGTATTTTTACAACTGCTTAGTGAATGAGAGCATGCCTGTTGATTTCTTGAAAAACTGCAACATCGCCGTCTTTGGCTTGGGAGATAGCTCATACGCCAAGTTCAATTTTGCATCTAAAAAATTGTTCAGAATATTTTCTAAGCTGGGTGCTAACCTATTTATAGAAAGAGGAAATGGCAATATGCAGGATGAGCAAGGCTATTACACATCATTGTTCCCGTGGATCGAAAAGCTGATCGTTAATTTACAAAGTTTTAATATAAAAGGTGCCGAGCTGATCAGAAAGGAAAAACGAGCGTATGATGCAACTATAATCGCAAAAGCTATGCTTACACCGAGTGATCATTTTCAAGACATTCTTGAAGTGGGGTTTACTGTTGAGGATTACAATGACTTTGAACCTGGTGATACCATTCTAATCAGTCCCGCGAATTATAACTGGCGTGAATTTTGTGAATACAACGGCAACATGTGTGATGAGGATTACGTAAAGAATAGCATGGATTACAACTTTGTGCCCTACTTCTACGTCTTTGTCGAGATCGTAAAGTATCTGGAGGATGAACCGCTAAACGACCATTTATTCAGAAATCCGGAGCGTAAGGAAGCCATAACAAAGAGAATACGGGAAATGAGCACAGACTACGAGTTGTACTTTGATTATGTTAAACGCCCGAAGCGTACTTTCTTCGAAGTATTGTGTGATTTCGGGTTGAAACTGCCGTTCTCATTTTTGAGGAAAGTTATACCGAAGATCCGGCCAAGATATTTTACTCTGACCAAGAAAGGATCGGAGTATTATCTCACCATTGCGCTTGTCGAATACCAAAACAGTATAAAAGCAAAAAGAAAAGGATTGTGTTCGCAATATTTGAAGGAAATAAACGTGAGTGAAACAATAAAAGTGGGAATGATAAAGAGCCATCTGTTCTACGACTCAAATAACCTTCTATTTATTTGTACGGGAACGGGCGTAACATTGCCTAGAGCTTTTTGGAATTTTATCGGTGATAAGAACATAGTGGTGTATTACGGGTATAGACATGATGAAAAGGATAGATTGTATGTCGAAGAGGTAGAAAAACGTAAGAATGTGAAAATTGTGTATGCTCCCTCGCGTATGGGTGAGGAGCTGTACGTGCAAGAGATATTTTACAAGTATTTTAACGATCCTATAGACAAATACCTGATCTATGTGAGTGGTAGGACAAGATTGAACAAGGAAGTGAGGCAAATGTTCACAAAAAAATACGGAGAAGAACTTCATTTTCAGGCAGAAACGTGGTGATAGTAATGGATGGTTTATATGTGGTGCTTTGAAGAGTTCTAAGCTTTAACGTAAAGTTACTGTTGTGTTACTTGTTTTGAGATAAAATGGAGGCTTAGTCCAATATTTTCTGATTCCTCCTCATCTTCAAACAAGCTTTTTGCTTCTAATCAGTATTTGCTATGTTAATGAGAATTATCAAGCTTGTATTATCTCTTGAATGTATAATTCCTTACTGTTCGCAGATGTGCTAGCACATCTCATTCGTGCAATACCACACACTGTTATGAGCAATTCATTAAATACCCGTATATTTTGTATTGAGCGCACAACTTGGCTTTTTGAGAGGCTATCATCGTACTTCTGTGGCATAAGAGCGCTGCTTTACGAATTGTATATGATAACGAAGAACGTATCTGTTTTATGAGTGCACATTGACAGTTCTAACGCATGTAATGGGTGTTATAACTTCATTTTTTAATTCGTTCATTTTGTATTATTTCGGATTTCATAGGTCGCAGCCGGTCCGTATTATTGGTCAATCGCCGAATTTTATAAACAATAGAACATCATCAACTTTTTAGCATTTACTTACATTTTTATAAGGACTCACGTCCTGCTTGATGCGTACTTGCTTATAATAATGTGCAAAGTTTAAATTTACTAAGTCCCGTCTGCCTATCCTGATTACGTTACCGTAATTCTGCCTTGTATTCCCAACGAACATGTAAGAAGATTTAAACGATCAGCGGCTCGTCAGGAAAATAGTTTTATATCTCTTCTACATACGCTCCTTAAAACCTCCTTTTGATTGCTCTAGCTTTTTATTTATCTCAGGATCCTCGATGAATCTTTTCATTCATGCCTCTTACCACCGTAGAAAGTCATTTATTTACGTTGTTGTTTCATCTTCTGATCGAAACATTCATTAAAAGCGCATACCAGAGAATGTTTCAGAATTGATGAAAAGCTGAAACACTAAAATGTGGTTATTTCAAGACTGGTAGTTACTTCATAATCTGTTAAATATGCAACAAAATACGAATAAACATGTTACCGCAAGAACAACGGCTGGTATTAGTGAATGAAATCTGTGTGAATAAAAGTTGTTCAAGCGGTCTTGGGCACCGAGTACATTTTTGGATTGGTAACGATCGAGACCAAAGAATTTCATTTCGTTACAAAAAGTACCAAAAAAATACCTGTGGCACTTTCATCCGAATAAACCTTTACACAATTGTATTTTGCCTTTCACATTACAGAGTTAACGATATGGTGTAACATATCCATATGAACAAATACTTATTGTACAGTTTAATTATACCTTACACCCATTCAATCGTATTTTTGCGTTACTTCTTGTCACCACCTTCGCTTCCACCCTTACCTTTGTCGTCCGAGGGCCAGAAGTGCACTATGCTGAACGATCCGAACAAGAAGATAACTACCAAACCAATAACGACTATTAATGTAATAAGAACACCTTTATCCATGGAAATACCGTAATGTTATTTCTTTTATATTTTTTCAGTGATATTTTACTCCAATTAAATTTAGGTATAAATACGAATAGCTTTTTGATATCATGCCATCATTATTCTATAAAACAATAAATAACTTGTGCAGGTGTGATATTCTGGGTGTTTATTGGCATTTTATTGGTTAGAAACGGACCTGTGGGAAGGTAGAGTGCGCACTGCGATCAAAATATGTCTTAGACGAATTAATTGCTGGTTCTTCCGCAATTCTTAGATTTGCTACGTTTTCTCAGCGAACATATCACCTTAAACATAAAATACGCTGTTATGTGTTGTAGATTATCAGCGTTCTTGCTGCAATTCTATCCACCAACACCTTTTCTTGGCATATTTAACGATGATGCTACGATGAGCTTTAGATATCGCGCTAAGCACCACTTGGCATTTCTCACATCCGTGGTCTCTAATTCATAAATGAACTTGTTCAGCCACACCTTACAATAATTTAGCTCAACTAGCACAGCAAGGCATGTAACAGCCAAGGCGTAGCATTAACATGTACCATGGCGTATACAAGTGTCTGTTGCTCTTAATCGAGTGTTCATCTGCTGATAAGAAAACAGTCTCTGCCAAAATTTTTTTGATCTGAAGTTGTGACCAAAAGACGCGGATAAACAACCATCAGGTAAATTCTGGCGATCATAGGTAAGAAAGCGCTGTCTGCCAGTGCAACTATCTAAAAACAAAGGTTAATACCTGTTATGAGCAGGTCTACAGCTTCCAAAACAACATAATTTATTGCTCAACCTACCATCTTATTAGTACTTAGCTCAAACTCTCTAATGTCCTTTTCACTGATAAACTTTATTCCTTTTCTTTTATTCTTGATGACATCAACCTGCCCTTCTATACGCTCAATCAGATCTTTTAGATCAATGTTATCCTCTTTGATTTCCTTCAGTTCTTTCAGAACATGATACGATACTTCTGGGAATCCCAGCGAATCAGAGATGCTGTTCAAGTGCGCAAAAAGCAGCGCTAACGATTCTTCCAAAATAAATTCTTTCAATTCTTCAGATTTTAAATACTCTGTGGTTAACTTTACCTTGCTGTAATCAACCTTCTTCCCTATGGCTTTGGTATCTTTGATCGCAATGCCCATCTTGAACAATTCTATGAGTTTTAAGCCTAGAGGGATGTAAAACGGTATTCTTAGGATGCTTTGTATGATTTTCAAGTGATATACACTCTTCTTGATCGATATTATCTCCACGAGCTTGAACATAATATTTAAAAAACTCGTCAAATTGTTATTACCAATGCATTTTGATATGTTTTCAACCATAAATGCACACAGCGATCTGTCGTACTCCTTCTGTTTGACCAAATACCCAAGATATGAAATTTCTTCTTTTATGACATCCTTGGTTGCGCTCTCAACAAATTTGCCAACCTCATCTACATTTTCCTCCATGTAGTAAATTTTGCGTAGCTGTGAATTATTCTCAAGCTCCTGCTCACCCTCTTTAAGCTGCTTTTTTTTTTGTTTTTCTTCCTCGCGTTTTCTTTTATTCTCGCTAATTCTTTTGTCTATTGCGTTTACGGGTGCCTTTCTTTCATGCTTATTATCCGTTATCCTCCGATTTTGGCCAATATCTCTATTGTGTTTCATCTCTGATTTCCTTCTACCACCTATTACATTATTTTTCGCACTCTTAAAATCGTTTTTATTAAACTTAGAAGATTTGTCATCGCTATTCCGTATTCTTCCGCTGTTTTTATGCTCCATTCTTGCATGATTTGCTTTGTTATCTTTTTTATGATTCTTGCTGCGCTCCTTATCTCCGTTATACCTCCCTTTCCTCTCATTTTTTGCAAAAGCTTTTTTTCTGCTCGCCATCCGTGTGGGTAAAGGAATTGTGAGCAAGTCATGTTTTATCGCCCTGCAGTTCAGGCGTAAGCATTGTTTTTAAGTTCGGTGAAGATTGCAAAACGTGCACTTGTTCGTTTAAATGTTGCTGAACTGTCTGTCATGCCTGGTAATGACAAATGGCAAAAAAGTTTTTTGTAGTATGCTTAAATATGAGGCAGTCGAATTAAAATATCAATTGGCAACAATTTATTGTGTTCAAGACCCGCAATATAACGATGTCTTCAGGGTATGCTAGTCTCTAATCCCCGTACAAAGTACCGGTTAATCAACAACATGCTATTGTTACAAAGAAATGAGCGATAAATGCGTTCGTTTGGATAGCAAGATGATAAATGAGCATTAAATTTACCTACAGAACGTGTGTATAATTTGAATGATTACTTTTGGCAAGGAAGACCATTTTACAGCAATTCTCCCATGAACAAACAACGTACTGAATGCTACCACGCTATGTACACCAAAGAACTTTTTTTTACTGTTACCAAACATCAAATCTCTGTTCAACACCAGAAACGGGGATGGCTCGGTCAGCTCTTCACCGCTTGGTTTATAATGAAGACGGCACCGTGCAAAACGGGCAAATAAACAAAACAACATTCACAATTATACCGATTTATTGGCAGGCCTTTAACGCTGTCTCTTCCGGCACTCTCTGCAGTACCATTTTCCTGCTGGTGGCTGCGCCATCCCAACACAAGAAAGATGGAACCATTCAATTCTACAGTTCGGATCATCACACGCAATCATCTTCGCATTTATATCCTTGCCACAGTAGCACGGCGCACTATCCCTCTCTCTATTCGCGTGTGCCCCCGCCTCGCCCAATTCTCTTGCAGAAATCTGGTTGGTCTTAAGGACCAATGCTGATTTTGACACCATCTCATCAAAATTGTTGCAGTCCAACTCAACAGTCCCCGTCTGCCCATCTATAAAATTGTAAAGCGAATGCAGATGCGCGTTCATTTCTTTTTCGTTCTCCTCAAGTCGCAGAAATGCCGATACTATTTTTTGTACATCACACTGATCCGATTCTATTTGCTGTTCGATTGTGGTGATGTGATCTTCTGATTGACTGTTCAGCAGTTTTATGTTTGTTATTGTCTTTTGAACCTTGAGCGGAGTTTCTTCGAGCGATTCGATGCTTTCTTTGAATAACATTGGCAAGGATCGAATTTTTAGAAAATTAATAAATGGCGGGTAGATGAACAGACACGCAACATTTCGCGAGGTCCTATGCATTTATTCTATCTGCTCATCGATTATACTCAATAATTATTTGTTGATCGAAGGACCAAGATGCACGAAAATGCGTACCAATAATATGCAAAATACCAAAAATAAGCGGATGAATACGCTAATACAGCAAAGAATAAAAGCATTGATGGATTGATACTTCTCCGCGTTGTTGAAGGAGGTAACTCTGTTTAATGTTGGGAAAGAGGATGAAGTAGCAGTTTTAAGGGAAATTGTGGCTGTGTTCATACATAAAAAGTGGCAGACACGGGGCAATTTCTGATCAAAAACACTTCTCTCGTCACATTTTGAATGTAATGTTGCAATTTTAATGAAAAGTGAGCTTGCACAGTGAACAGTTACACGCCAAATTCTTCTTTTACGTTTTGAAAGTGTGTGCTCACTTAAACGGTACCATCATCTCTGCACTAGCTTACACGCCAAATTCTTCTTTTACGTTTTGAAAGTGTGTGCTCACTTAAACGGTACCATCATCTCTGAACTAGCACAAAGCTCACGGCAGCAAAGTATCTACATGAATGTCTGCAACAATAATTAGAAATAGTTTACGTTATAACAGCGTGCCAGTGCAATCGTATAATATTTTCATGAACAACAAGCCAAGTTACTGCTTCGAAATGAACAATTTTTGAATAACTGTTCTATCTCCACGATAGCACACATAATATTGTACTTGTGTATTGTAAGTAGGTCAAGAATACGAATCACGGCTAAATAAGAGCACTAAAGAGATGAAACGATGCTATGTAACCGCTACAGATACATCATCCCGGGCAATATATTAGTTAAGTGTCTATTTTTGTTGTCGTGATGCGCCATGATCGTGATTATTTAATCTTTGCTCTCCCATGTCAATACTAGGCCAAATACACTCAACAGCAACATTACGTAAAACAAATTATTTTCAAGACTAACACCTTAATCCCGCAGTAGATGTACGATTGATCGTGTATAAACCAAAGATATCGATTAAAAAAGCCTTATTTATTTATTGAGAGCATATTTACGTCTCCTTGTACCGCCAATACATCCCGCTCGGTATGTAAAAAACAGAAAAATACATTTTGTGAATAAGATTTACATCATATAGCACAGGAATCGTAAAAATGATAATAGAGTAAAAAGAACATAGCACATGCAAGAGAATGCCGGTCATCTGTTTTGTTAACTATTCCTGCTATTTAAGGCGGGTCCTTCATTCAGTGTTGATGAAGGGAGGGTCATCCCAACAAAATGTTCCATACATGAAGACACGTACAAGATATCGTTTTGTAGCAAAATATTTCTGCTCATCGATGTGGTTTGAAATACGTTGCTATGAGAACGCAACACAATAACACATATAATTCATATCACTGCAATCTCTGGTAGTAACAAGCACATGCTCATTTTGCGTTCTTTCTTTACTCTCACTTCCGGTTTATTAATGAATAGTTCATCATGTTGAAGAAAAAACCACGGTTTACAAATGAAATGCGTCTTGTGGCCCGATATTATCGTATCATAATTTAAAACGCTTTTGAATGTTTCTCGTATTAAATTGTGTCTGAATGGGCAGCCCTTTACGATACAACATGGAAACGAAGGAAACGCATACGCTTGATGATCTAAGCACAGGATACAAGCTATACATAAAGAAAGACATGGGAAATGGTGTAGAAAATATCAAGGCAGAAATACTGGGTGTAAAAAATAGGAACGGCAAAGAATTTTACGTTCACTACATAAACTTTAATAGGAGACTGGATGAATGGCTCAGTGGTGATTCATTCCTTCTGGACACGGTAGAAGTGCCGAAGAAAAGAAAGAAGAGCTACGTGAAAAAGAGCAAAAGCTCGTTAGACGTGATAAAAAGCGTGGTAAAGGAGGACGAATATGCATTAGCTGATACGCCCAACAAGTCTGAGGAGTACAAGCTTAAGGTAATTGACAAGCTGCATATCAAGGATAAAGTGATCGATACGTGGTATTTTTCGCCGTATCCTGAGGATATTACTGGCACGATCTATCTGTGCTCGTTTTGCCTATTTTATTTTCAGGATAGGTCGAAATTGCAGGTGCATGAGTGCCACCTGCGACATCCTCCCGGTAATGAGATTTACAGAAAGGACAATTTGAGTTTTTACGAGCTCGACGGGCACGTCCAAAAGAATTACTGCCGCAATCTTTCGCTGCTATCCAAGCTGTTCCTTGATCACAAAACACTCTTTTATGATGTTGATCCGTTCATGTTTTACGTGCTATGTCGCTTGGAAAAGGATGGCTACCACATTGTGGGCTACTTCTCGAAAGAGAAGGTGTGCTCGCAGGGGTTTAACCTTGCGTGTCTGCTGGTCCTCCCGTACGAGCAGCGCATGGGGTACGGAAAGATATTGATCGATTTTTCATACCTGCTGAGCAAGAAAGAGAACGTAATTGCTTCGCCTGAGAAACCTTTATCGGATTTGGGACTTATCGGGTATCTTTCATACTGGAAAGAAGCTATTTTAGAGGTTATGGAGGTTAGTGCGAACGGTATTTCTGTTGAGGAAATATCGACCAAAACAGCAATTACGGTCGAGGATGTCTTTAATACACTGATATACTATAAAATGGTAAAGTTTTATGATGGAGAACTTATATTCGTGAAGGATAGAGATGCCAAGCCCAGGAAGTATAAGGTTGATGCAAAGTATCTGAAGTGGAAGGGGCATGCATTCAATCAGAATTTGTTAAGACTTTTGTGAACAACCCGTGGTTTAAACTACGAGAGCACAAAGCTGTGCATTCAAACGGACCCGCTTGCAATCCATTACACGTCGGTGTGCCATAGCAAAATGGTAGAGCGTGGTGACAAACAGCGCCGTGCCATATAGCAGGTTCAACAATTGGTGTAACATTAAAAAATGGAATTATACAATTCTACGGTACAACACGATAGGCTGAATTTAATGCTGTACAACCTCGCCCGCAAGAATAGCTGGCACGGCCAACAAAATGACCGTTCAACACAAAAATTAATTTAAATACAACTTTAGTAACAATCGTTCCACTCACATCGCGCAATTTACTTGGGACCAAAACTTGACCAGCTAAATCCGCCTTTTAAAATGCCGTCCAGCTTGTTCAGACCGCCCGATTCTTCCTTCTTCTCCTCATTCACGTTTTCGGTCTGCACATTTCCAGACCCCGATCCGAGCGAAAAGAGTGATGTTCGTGCCGTATTATCACCCACACCAGCGAATTGATTCTTATTGTTAAAGTCTGGCGGTGCTGGAAGTGATGATCCGTAGCTGTAAGTTGCATTTGCAGGCGCAAACGGTGGTGGAGCATTTATGTTCTGTCCAAAAGCTGCCGGTTGTCCCGAACTGTAGTAACTGAGCGGATTAGTGCCATCAATCTGACCGGTACTCGGTTGAAATAAAGGATTCGCGCTTCCGTACGTGTTTAACGAATCACCCGCATCTGTTGGATTGGACACCCTAGGACGGTTGTCATTCACACCGGTGAACTCGATCTTCCTCTTCATATTAAAATCGCTGAACAAATCAGTTTGGTTGTTGAGCGGAGTGCTGACCGGTGGCTGTGAGCTGTTAAGGCCGTTTAACGCAGTTTGTTGTCCAGACAATTGGCCCCATGGCTGATTACCGCTCGGAGTATTGAACAAATTTTCTGGTTTTGTCTGCTGATTATTCCATGGTTGTGCATCGCTTCGAGACGCATCAAACAGACTGGTTGCTCCCGATTCCCATCTCCTTGTTTGATCCGCACCATCCTGCTGAGCAGCACTGCCATACACGTTCTGCGCTCCGCTGTCAAATTGTGTTCGTTGTGCACTCAATCCTTGAATCGCGTCCTGTTGGGCATTTCCAAACGGTCCATTTTGCAGGTTGCTCTTCAACCCGAAAGGCTGAAAAATCGTAGAAACCGGCTGATTACTGCCAGGTTTGTGCTCTTTTACGCCTGAATCGTTCTTAAACAGCGAAAACTCGTTGTTTTGCAAATTTTGAAAGGCTGCATTCGTGCTAAACAGGCCATGTGGGGCGTTGCCACCCTGCATACCGCTATAATTGGCAGACCGGTTTGACACAACGTCTCCTGGTGCACTGTTCTCAACCAAAGGTTTGCCAAAAGATGAATGCGCCATGTTAGCGCTGCCTTGTACATCAAAACCGCCCGTTGGCACGCCGCCAAAAGGTGTTACCGTGTCAAAAAGCGGTTTTATATCCCGCATATTTCCCGAGTCTTTGGTGCCATCACCTGCAAAGCCTTCTCCGCTCATTTTTTGATTCTCTGTATTTGCAGATGTAACGCCGTTCGATGTACTATGTGCATGTTTTGGGGGTGTAGCACGATTTTGTTCGTTGAGACTGAAAGACGAAGTTTGCGATGCAACAGATTTAGCAATCGGTACTTCTGGCGCAATTCCTGACGAAGACCCATAAACCGGTGCTGTCTCAGGTACTGCCTGCGCTGCTGAAGATAATTTAATGCTATCCAACGTTGTAGTATTTTGAGCGCTTGCGGATTTTCCGTGCACTTCTAACGTGGACATCGATTCAACAGAACTCGGCACGATCGGTGCACGGATATTCGCTGTTTTTTGGCCCACATCGACAGCACTGGGCATCGCATTAGCCATGTTAAAGAACGCATGGCCTGTAACGGAACCAAAACGTGGATTTACCGCACCAGCGTTGACATCGGCACCCTTTACGTCTTTCTCCAGATCGCTGTTCACAGCGAAGAGGTTAACATTGTCACTATGAGCACCCGTACCGGCAGTTTCATGACAGGTGCTGTCGGTGTTCGAAGTGGTGGCTCCTGCGCTTTTATCCCGCATTACTTTCTGATCTGCACGCCCAGATGCACGCTCCCTTTCAACAACTGTCTCTTTATCAGCAGGCTTTGCATTACCAACAGCTTCCTCCACTCTCTTAACCATATTTCCAGTCTTTACCTCCTCCTGGACTGGTTCACCCTGCGCCTTGTCCTTTGCATGCTTAGGCTTGGTGTGAAATATTGGCGGCACGAGCTCATCTCTGTTGTAATCTTCAGAGTGGTAATCCGCCGGGTTTCCATGGTAAACATCAAAATTTTCGAGTTTCTTCACAATTTCTCTTTCTTTTTGTGTTTCTTCTTTGCTCCTTTTGACAAGAACAGCACCACTCAGCTTTACTTCGAGCGCACTGGGTGGATCCTTTCTTGTCGGTATCAAGTACTGATATGGCTTGCCGTCCGTTGTGCTCTTCACCTCGTCAAGCCTTGCAGCATCATCTTTCATCACGGGCCTTACCACCGGTTTTACCTCGGTAACCACGGGATCCGCGAACTTTGCATGCTTGCCTTTGAGCTCTTCTAGCTCCCTTCTCAACGCCTCGTTCTCTTCACAGAGTTTCTTGTAGTCATCTCTTGACTTGTTGCTGTAAACGTACGCAGCCCCACGTTTACTGATCGCCTCACACCCGCAGTCAAGCACCCGTGTTCCATTGTCCAGATCGTACCCAAAAAATGTGTGGAGACGCACATCTTTTTCAGGCCAGCCGTACTGCTTAAGCATGTAATTCAACGGTCCAACGAATGGACAGGTCGCCAGACACCTCGCAACCGGCACATACTTATCCGGTGGACATGGATAAATCCGAGGAACATAATCAAACCCTGTAATCTTTTTGTAATCATTCACAAAAAGCCGCTCTCTAAGTCTCTTGCAGTACCGGGCCCGTTCCCTCATCTTAGTTGCATGTTCGTACCTACTCCCTTCCGGCCTTTCGAACGTAATCACCGGCTTGCCGTTTCTATACCGCGGCGGTTCGTCTTCCTTGTACTCCACCGAATCGTCAAACCGGCAGATTTTATTCGCAAGGTTATTTTCCGGTTTACCGTGGTATGCGCATCCAAATTCCTCAAGCTGTCCTATCAGAATATTTCTTATGTCCATGATGAGATCCAACTTTGGCTTGTTCAGCCTCTTCAGCAAGACCGAACGGTCACAGTACATGTGATGCGATAGGCGTTGTAAAGCAAGTCTTATCTTCCCTTTCACTTCTTCACCCACCTCCTGATACAGCCTGTACTCCAAACACTTGATGCACTCGATCTCATCTTTGATGATGGTGTCTTCATCATCTCTGTGCCGGTGATCAATGTAAATACTCTTCACATTCCTGTTCATGTCCCATACCTTCTTTCTCTTCAAGTCCTGGAATATTCTGCTATCGTCTCCGAAGAGTTTCTGATGCTCAATCGTTACAAACCTTTTGTACTCCACAAAGTTGCCCAAGATCTTTTTTGCTCTCTCAACCCTCATCGCATATACGTTCCACGGTTCCACTTTCTTCTCGCGATGCCATTCATCAAAGTCAATTATCTGATTAGGTTCAACGCTCTCAACCCTTGGACCGTTCCCATCGTGTTCAGACGAATCATCACTGCCAATGGTAAAAAGTTTCAATCCTTCACATTTTGTATCCTTGTCTGCCCCTTCGTTCTTCTGCTCCACCTTTCGCTTCCGTCTTTTTGCCCTTTTCTGGTTTTTCTTTGCTTTAAGTACCAGAGCGTTCAGCTCCTTTCCAATTTCCTCACCGTTTATTCCACTGCTCGTCCGCGCTCTTTTCCGCCCTTGAACACTTTCATGTTTGCGTTTCCCGAATATGGAGAGGTTCTTCAAGAACTCGAAGATTGCCATGGGGTAATTTTTGGTGCTTGCTAAATATTTTTTTCAAAGTTTTGTTTGACACGGGGTAAAGCAGCAGGTACTTTCCTTGCGAATGATGCGGTGGTTTTAAAAGCAACCGAAATTGTGAGTAAAGCTAATTTTATTGCTGTTTCCTATTTAAGTTTTATAATGAATGGTTGTACGGGTTGGCAACAAATGGGTGTTCCATGGTGAACTATACCGTATTTGGTACGTTCAAGGGGTTTTTATGGTGAGTTGAAGGAAATTATCGTATAATTATGAAGTGTTGTGGATGGCAGCCCTTGGAGCCCGTAACTGCAAGGTTAAATAAGGACCGGTTGAGTTATGATGGGCTACACGTAAAATACAGGGTGGCACTACCAGTACAATTGCACGGCATTGCACAATTTGTACAGATATGAACGTGCATGCATATCAAAACATAGTATGTATTTATTTATGAATGCATTCCTAGTCAAGGCGTACAATGATGTGCAGAAGCTTTGAGTGATTGATCCGGTATTCTGTGGCGAAAAAAGTAAAGCGAGCGCTTCACTAAGTATCGGTAAAAGAGCAAGCTCACCATCAGTGTAGTATTGCATTATAGGTGTATGATCCGATGCAGGGTGTAGAAAGTTTCATTTCGTACAGCAAAATATGTAAAGAAACGTATTCTGTGAACTAATAACAGAAGCTGTTGATGTGAGCCTTATGACCGTATTAATGGGCGTATGTTGTACGTTCTGTCGATGTAAATAGAACGATTAATCAAAAATCATCTTAATTCCCGATCGAGTGTGCTCAAAACAAAAATTTAAAATGCAGTAATTTTTATTGCAGCACCAGTCTGCTTAAGCACAATTCATCGATAAATTATCTTTGCTGCATTTGATCGGGCATACCCTGTACTTTATTACGAGTCAGTGTCATTCTTTTCATTCAAGCCCTTAATTGCTTCAGTCGTTACTTCTCCCACAGATATTGAGCAAAGATCCTCTTTGAATAATTACGGTATCAATGTTGAGAGCGGCTATTTGAACGAACTCATTTTTTTATTGAAGTACGCTTGTTTATCCTTTCATATCACAGCCCCTAAAAATACACTTTTTGGTCCGAAGGACCGAACGTGGTTGCTAGTCGTAGGTTCATGGATTGAATGAATTCAAAACGTTCAATTTACCATTTTTCACACTAAATTTTGGTAAAAAATTTTTAATAAAAGATCAAAGCATTTTCTTGTAGCAGCACCAGGATTTGTTCTTTGTTCCCGATTAACCACACGATGTGCACGTTGATCATTTATACGTTTGCATATTTGCAGCAAAAGCATGCATCAAATGATATGCGTCCTATCATAGGCCTATCAATATAATCAAACGATATACTTTAGCACTTAGAATTTAAAATATGCTCTACAACTTTGATGCAGTCTGCCTGATGAATATTTCACACACATTACGTGAATAGTTTAAGTTGGTGAACACCAACTTAAATACATCATGAGCAGATCATTCAGTCTGAAGTAAACTAAAAAGTTATTTTGCTCTGACCAATGGAGAAGATCAGCAAAATTAATCGAGTAGGGCAGTACGTGTTGATTTGGTGTACGTATTCTTTTGTAAAAAGTAAATCATTTCAGATGTTTTGGTAGCGAATGGTGATTACCATGGGAGAAATTGTTATATACCGGTAGAGATGACGTAGAAAGCGCATTATGTGCAATTATTGAACAGATTGACAGCATTGGTGCGGTCGGATGAGCAATAACCTGCCTTGGTTGAGTAAACACGAGCAACTTCTTTCCACACCTGCATATATTTATCTGCTCTGTTACTTTACGGGTAAACACACGCCGTAACATACAGCACTACCCTTTCTGACAACGATATTGGTGCTACATGTTTTCATCTCAAGGCACTCCTCATTTTTTGCCAATGGCAACGGGGAAACTTGTTCATTCAAACGTGGAACAAAGAAGCATCTTAGGCGATGTTCATAGTTTTAAAGCTGTTAAAGTGACAGCCATCATACTTCAAGTATATTTCATCATGTTATCTCGGTTTGATTGCTGTGCCGCATATACTTAGTCATTCCGCAGGCATAGTCGTACCTTTGTGTGGTACAAAATAGTTTAAGAACATTTTTGTTTTGTGCTATGAATGCGGACTACGATACGAACGTACTAATTGTACGAAATGCTTGAGAAAATTTACCATCTGTATGAATGAAGTGCTGTTTATATTTGTGTATTGCAGCAGCTCAAAAATGTTGAGGTAGCGCACATCAGATTTTTATGTATAAAAAAGCTAACTCGTGAATACGTGGCAGCTCTACAAATAATAAATTTACCAGTGTGTAGGTAGCTGCATACATTCACACCGCTAGTTCACCAAATATTCATGAATAGCATGAAAGTACCACAAGCTCATTTATTGAATGCGCTGGCTGGTTCTTTCAGTCCTTACCAAGTATTTCAAAAGAACTAAGAGTTTTGCTGCATCCATCATACACGAGTAATAACAGGCAGGGCAAACATAACAGTCCTACAGACACAATACCAGGAAATATCGTTTTATTGCTCAACATGTATTTGCTACCTATTGTGCGATAAAAATTATAAAAGACACAGAGCACCTTTACATGCTGCCTGAACCAACTTAATAATTAGCTGTTTGCTTTTGCACATTCTTTATGTGGTGTTAGAATTGGCAGAGCATTGCCCTACGGCACGCACCTTCACTTATTTTTCGCAATATGCGCAGCATCAGTACTGATATGGAGATTACCATAAACGAAACCGGTACCGAATAATTTTAATAAAAATAGTCTCTCAACTCTTCTCTTTTAGCACTTCCTATCGTGTACAGTTTTATATCGTTCTAATTCTTGGGCCATTTTCGTTTTTCAAGAGCACTTCCCGTGTTCAAATCCGGAACAGTGCTCCAAAATAACTTTACCATTTTTTAATTAAAATGTGTTTTATGTTCGTTGGACAAAGAACGGCTTAGTTTAAAATGCCGAACAGGTGAAAATTACGAATCGATGCATTGTCACAGCGCATGCCAAAATAGTGTCTTGTTACTATTTAGGTGCTGTGATATTAATTTAACTCAAAAGAGAAAATTCTATGCTAAAAGAATGAAGGCACAGTTTGGCACTGTGCGAGGAATTGTGGCTAACCTTCGATCAATTTTTTTCAGGTAGTCTGTGCGGCTGGTATTACGCACACATCAAGAGCTCTCAAACATAAAAGGTTTGTGAATCGCTAGAGTTAGCTATAATAGCGCGTTAAAGCTGTTCTTGTGATGTGCGTATCGTGCAGAAGTGTCAAAGCCAAGTGATTACGATGATAAAGACACGAATGGAAAGTTTTATCTATATTGCACATTTAATGCATGAAATTGTTCAATTTTGTTCTTGGTGTCGCCTTAATGGTGTTGCTGTGCTGGGCGTAAAATCGTAACTCCTGAGTGACCTGATGGGAGCGATGAACGAAACGGTGAGTTGAGTGTTCCGGCACGTACATTTTACACGCGCAACTTTGTAATGCACAGCCAAAAATGTAAAATTGGCTTGAACGATTTTCTATAAAATTTTTAGACAAAAACCAAGTTTTGGTGCTCTCCAGCACGCACTGTTATATACGGACACGAGGCATCAAAAATGGCAATAAGTATGTGTTACGGCTTAATTGATGAGCACCGTGTTACTAATACAAATACCTGCGCACATTCAAGTAATTTTGATATGTACGTTTGAGCAAACGGTTTTTTACGCCTACATAGACCTTTACACAAAATTAAACAATGCCATAGAACAGAAACACCTATCTATGTTACGCTATAGGTACCTCTCATCATGATAATAGACCACTCTCTTTTATCGCCATAACTACCGTTTTAGTGCCTGTTAACCACGGCACCAAGACAGAAACAGTTTATAGGATGGAAACAACGATTGTATTTCAGAATTTGTTCTATTAAATCATCACTTTCCTATTTCTTGTCAAAGCACTCACAAAAAAAATGCAAAAAATGAAAAGGAGTTGATAACCAATCGATAATATAAAAAGCAAAAAAACGAGTCCCATCCTATGCAGAACTCTTCTTTGAATATCATCTTTTCTGACTCGGAGAGCGAAAGGTAAGTTAATATATCATTTAATTTTATGATTTTATATAAAGAAGAAAACAAATATACACATGAAGAGCGCGATCAGCAGCAGTGATTCGTGTTGTAAGCGGAAGAAATTCGATGATTGCAGCGATAACATTGTGAGTTATGCTGTGGAGATGGATGAAAAAACTATGAGAGAAGGATCAGAAAATGTGGTGGGCAGCAGCCGTTTCACGGGTGCGAAAGACACACCACAAGGAGATGATGGTGCAGAAGAAGTAAACGAGAACGTAATGGGAAGTTGCAAGGCACAAAACGAGGTATGGCGCGCTGGTTGTAATGGCAGCATCCCCGTAAAAAATAACTGCAAAATTAATTTTAGTAAGAGCTCCGTTATATCAGGGAAGTGCAATGAAAAGTGCTGCCAAACCATCCTGATGGAGAAGCCTTTTCGCAATCACTGGACAGCGCACAAGCTAAGATCCTCCACGATCGTGAAGCCTCAAAAAAGTTTTACTTTAAAACGAGCGTTTACCGTTCCCACACAAAAAATAGATGTTTCTGAAAACAGCAATTTCATCGATTTCTGGCAAAGCATAGACAACGGTGTCAGATACACCCTTCCCATCGTGAGCCATGGAAAGAGTGACAGTATTCCACGAATATCGTGCTCGGTTCTGCACGAGACGATCACAAGCAAATATCGTGTAACATACAGAATTATAGACTGCAGATTCGACTATGAGTATAACGGAGGGCACATAAAAGATGCTGTAAACATAGACAACATTGATTCACTTGTGCGGAGCATACCCTCTCTGAAGAACCACATCTTGATTTTCCACTGCGAATTTTCTTCCGTGCGAGCACCTAGGATAGCAAAGTATCTGCGGAACTACGACAGATTCAATAACGAGTATCCTTCCCTGGATTTTCCGGAGATTTATGTCCTTGAAGGCGGATACAAGGAATTCTACGGTCTGTACAAGGAGTGCTGCTACCCACAGAACTACATAATGATGAGTAAGCATAAGTAAATATGGTGCATACGAAAAGTACAAATTTTACCTCAAATTTTTTATTACCTTTAATTGATACGTTGTTCGTGTCTGAGATGATGCGCTTTCTGTAGCACAGCAACAGCGTTCAGCTCATTTGCACTCTGCTGTTCTCAATCTATATTTTCGTAGTATTGCATGTTTGTTCACCGATCAGAGAAACATCGTAGCTCATTACCTGCCAAACACCTGTTTTATTAATTTACCTTTTATATTTCCAGCGGATCAGAACAACACCATGCTCTGCAGGTTCATATTACAAAAATTTTGCTGATGTTCTGACAAAAATACGCATTAGCACAAATTCGATATTTCCTTGTGTATTACTATTTAAGGAAAATTTTGGATAAATAACGAAACACTCCTGCACATATTTCCAAGTTTTCAGCACCAAAACACTCGTTAAAGATTAAAAAACATTTTTCTTTAGATCCTGATTTGAAAAAGTGCTGCAAAACAAGCAGGTATGAACTACGTGTAGGTAAAAAACCTTTCGTTTTTGCAATGATATTTAAGCGTACTCTTAGTGAATGTCTGTGATATTTGTACATTTTCAAGATAATCCGCTTGTCTATATTTACTTCGTTATAGTACGGTACTTCATAGATAAAAATTGCCATACTATCATTACAGCATGCCTTTCCTTTCCTATCTTTCTGATAAGAATGATTTTTGGCACTCCACCTAAAAAAGACTAAAAAGGAAATTTACTATATTGTGTATACCGATACTCAAGTACACCATTACGTTCTGTAATCATTGAGAAGATGAGTAAAAAAATTACCATAATTATTGTTGGTCTATAGCTTTGGTGAATGTCGTGGCCCGTAAGCAATTTCATGATTTTGCGCACGGCCTAATTCAGCCTGTCGTTCCTTCAATTCTCATGTTTTTAACACGAATGGTACCTCCCACGTGTTTAATTCTTTATTTTTAATCGCGAAGTACGATATAGCAAAATTAATAGAACTAGTACGTACGAACACCGCTACGCACCTATCAAACACCATATGAATCTTTTCAAGGAACGCGTATCATAAACATTGTACGAAGTAGTTGTGAACTAATACCGCATCTGTGCTTCAATAGTGACTACGCCACGATATAACATATCATTTACACTTTACTTTAACTATACGTATGCTGCAATGTTGAACAGCGTGGTATTCTCGATTCTGTCGTTCACCACGACCATAAGATCCTCTAAATTTTTCTTTATATGGCTATCATCAAATACCCGTCCATACTTCCTATAATTGAGGCACTCCTGCTCCAAAACATTGATGAAAATGTCCATTTGCTCTTTTCCACTTCCATTCTCTTGAAATATGCCATTTATAACGTTTCGTAGAAATTTTTTTACTCCCTTACGCAGCTCATCGACCACAAACATTTTATTATCTACAATGCTTAACAACTCTACGTAATTTTTCTCAATAATTTCGTATGAGAAATAGAAAAATATTTTCTGAATCATAACGTACCACTTATTGAGCCGGACGGTGTTGGCGAGCTCACTGTTCTCCTTCTCTTTCAATTTTCTCAGAAAGTGCTCAACTCGCTTTATTTTCCACAGGTACTTAAAGATGCTCAAGAAAATCATAACAACGTCCTTCTCGATGACCACATTGACCGGAAAGTCGAAATGACAGAACAGCGAGAAATCTTCATCCTTTAGAACACACATATCCAGTGTGGACGTGATTTTGTTAATTTGTTTGAAGGACGACATGATTGCGCTATCTAGAACGAACGAATAGCTTCTTCTACACAAATTGCTCTTATTGATACCTTTCATGTGGAAGAGGAGATGCTCTATGAAATCGTTTCGTGCGAAGAAAAAGGTGTCCTTGCAGAACTGCAAGTATTCGATGATTTGACATCTCGGAAGAAAAAGGGCTTTTACCTGTCGGTCTGCGATTAAGAGCTTGTCATTGATGATGTTTTCGAAGTTTCTATCAAGGACCTGAACAACTTGCGTGTGGTCGCTAACCGTGCGATCATATGATACGTCCATCGCCTTAGCGTCGTGAGGACGGATGTCCAATACATACTGATCACCGGTAACAGTCTTCAAACTGTCTGGCACTTCCTTGGAATAATCTACCTTAAGATCGTTCGATATTCTCTCTAAAAGATTGCTAACCTTACCGATGTAGAGAATTTTTTGTGCAATTTCTGCTGAAATGAAAAAGGGCAGCATCCCTGTGTCAACATTGTACGACAACCAAAAATCATTTGAATTTTTTGTAATGAAAAATTCTCTTGCGTAATCAGTGAACTGTCCCTTGACCAGCCATTCATTTAAATTGATATTAAGCTGCTTCGTGCAATTACTCACTATGTTGTATATCAACGAATCTTCTTTCGCGAAGAAATCACGGCTGTAAAATTTTAAGAAATTGTAAGGATTTTTGGTATCTTGGAAGTGACCGTTTATCTGATCGAGGAGAATGAATGTTTTGATGTGCGGCTTCAGCTGAACATAAAACGCCAGAATATCCTCCTCGTTAAGAATAAGCACCTGCATCTCAAACTCTTTTGCCTTATCCTTTGCTATTTTGTAAAAATGTAGTTGCGACATGGTCTGGCCATCCGTTAAATTTTTGAATTTTGTATAGATGACCGCGTTGTTCTGCAAAGTTTGCAATATTTCACTTTGTTGCACGTCCAGCTTGTACTTTTCCACGGTCTCTAGGCCTAATGCGATCTTCTTGAGATTACTTCTATTTTTTTGCATTATTTTCGGTCTTTTCCTGCGAATACTGGCCAACTTACAAAGCACATAGATCAGTTTAATCTCTGTAGGTGAAAAAATGCTCAGATTGATGTCCAGGCCATGTCTTTTAGCTATGCAAAGTACGTCATTGGTTGATACTGCGATATCTTTGCTTGGTTCAAGATACAATCGAAGGTAGTTGAGGAATGATGTCTCTGCTTTTGTATTGTGCAATTTAAAAAATTCGTTTACGAGCGAATCCAGTTTTTCTTGCATAGGGCCTTCATTTTTTTGTAGAATTATGGCACAAGATTAAAATTTATTTTTTTGATCGTCAATACGCCTTTTCAGCTTCATATTCCCCAAAACATACGTAAGCACCAATACCACGCGATCTTCTCAACACCCATAAGGTATAACTGCTTACTAATGATGTGCCTAGATACACCAATCGCCAAATGAGTCTTTACCAATCCTAGCATAGCAGAGTTAGATATCACTGCATTTAACACGTGCTGGTGATGGAAATGTTGCTTATACATCGCCATAACATTTTTACTGTGCAATTACGCCTCAGGTACCGAGCATTTTTACGTTTTATACGAATAATCGTTATAAACGGGTCATATGTAGGATCGTTCTCTACCCTGCCGAATTAAAATGAACTGTCTATAGCAATCAACAGATTGTATTTTTGTACAAAAAAGTATAAATTAATTTTTTTGAACATATCGTGTGGTGTCAAAAAATGTTTTATCGCTGTCTTCCATAAATAAAGATGAAATGGCTTGGTTAATGTTAGCGCATCAAATAAAAATTTAACTACTTCTCATCAAATTGAGAACAGCAGAGTTATTCGGGAGAAACAACTGCCATGATGAATAACGAGCATCACTACACCGCACGTGGTGATGAAACAGCACGCTTGGTTCATCTGTAATTTATTGCAGTTAAACACGGGCATTCTAATGCGTTCAGGGTAGACAACCGCTCAGGAAAAAGCTTTTTAATCACAGTTCCTTTCTCTCCTTCTCTTCCACATAATCGCCACACTCCTTAATTACTACACTGTTAATCGGCCTATCATACTCGTCTGTAGGTACTTTGGAAATATCAATCACATACTGCAGCGTGTCTTTGATTATCTGCCCAAATACAACGTGCTTTTCATCCAGCCAACTTGTCACGGCGGTCGTTATGAAGAACTGTGAGCCATTGGTATTCTTTCCAGAATTGGCCATGGAAAGCATTCCGGGCTGGTAATGCCTGTACTTGAAATTTTCATCGTCAAAACGGCCACCATAGCTGGATATGGACCCTGTGCCATTGCCGTTCAACACATCACCGCCCTGTATCATAAAGCCATCTATTATTCTGTGAAATATGTTGTTCTTGTACGAAAAATCCTTCCCGCCTACCTTGCAACCTTTGATGAACGAGTAAAAGTTCGCACAGGTCACAGGCACGTCCTTATCAAAAAGCTCAATTACTACCTTTTTGGTGATTTCTTGCGATTGCACAGGGTCGAAGTAGGCAATGTCCATAAAGACCTGTCTCAGATAGACGAGCGAAAACAACAAAATAATGTTTATCATAACCATTGATGGGTGAATTTAGCTTTTTTCTAAAAAAGGCATATTTGAGCTTGCACGTCAAAGACTTGTAATGCGTAAGAAAATGGAAGCGAATCTATCAATGATTCAAAGCAACATACACTTACAGTATTTACCGTAATGCCCGTTGTAGATCTGCAAAATGGTGATTCCTTTCATGTCAACTTTAAATATTTTATATTTTTCTAATATAAATATTTTTTGTTCAATAACTTGAAATGATGCTGAAGCGTACAAATTTTTATGAACAACACAACATGTCATTTAACTTGATTAATTATTTTTTACCGCGTAGATGGAAGGCATCAAGAAAATGGTTCGAGCCTAATTAGACTTTTGCAAGAATAGGAAATGTGCTATGTGCCATTTTGTAATTAAAGAAGTACGGTTATAAAGTAAATGGTATTTTAGACTCGATTTATCATGTATAGAAATAATGACCGTAAAATATACAAGAAAAAGCTAAGCGCTCTACCACTGACAAGCACACACGTATTAAAGCTATAAGCAGACCATAAATACAGAATTGTTCATAAATACTGGTTTTACGGATCATGATAGCATCTATTCTATCACAGCTAAACCATTTCAATTGTTAAACACAAGGAACCTTGAGTAGCACTATCATGATGAATTGGTGAAAATCAAATTTTCTACAACACGATAATTAGAAAATGCTGGGCCAAACTTACCTTGAGTACAGCATAACGAGGTATCAAGACGGATGTGATGAATGACAAGACCCGTTCTAAATTAAAATGATAGCTTCTCCTAGCGTGTATAACCTTTTGGCAGAACAAATTTAACTTATCAACACTCGTTTAGTGGCAGATATGCGTGACCGTTTTGTCTATTTAATTCGTGCTACGGCTAACAAAACAGTTTTGCAGGTATCACCGGCATTGCATCAAATGTTGTCAAAAAATTTGTACATTTCATTTCATTTCGATTCGATAGATAGGATTTATCACCGTGGTGATGATCGTATTGTTAAACAAAGAGAGTGCTAGTGTTATTTAATAGCACTGTATCAACCACTTAAAGGAAATGGTTGATACGTAGGTTCGCAAAGAAAAAAGATTAAAATAAAATGAGTTGAAAGGTAAATTTTCGATTACCACTGGGCTATCCCATAAGAATGAAGAACAGAACAAACAATGGTTTGACTGCAACATAGATAAAAGTATGTTGCACAAAATAACAATTACTAGGCTATGTGCGTGAGAATCGATCTGTACGCCACCATTTTTTTATTTAGTTTTTCATCAAAAACAATTAGCATGATTGTCACATCATGATCTCATCAAATTATGACAGTTTATCTGTTTCAACTGTTCATACGGATTAGCGTTGGTATGAAACTGCATTTTAGCGCAACATCGTAATAAAACGAGAAGAACTGAACCGATGGTGTGCAAATGAACTAAAAACATGATTCAAATGGATATTTGCGTGAATATATCTCGTAAAACGACTAAATTTACGGTTAGGTACGTCAAAGTCACAAATAAATTTGTTTAAACCCTTGTTGGACTGTTCTATCCTCTATCAGGGTTTAATTAAGCATGTTTTGTTATTACGAAGTTCTCTACAAGCTTATCATCATAAATTTCTATCATAAGCATATCTTCATTGCTTCAGTAGCTATTTCTGGGTTTGCTTCGCATGCTAGCGCATCAAAATGTTTTTTAGTGATTAATTAAATTTTCACAGCGGTACCAAAAATGAGTATTTTACGAAAACTGCACAAATCGCAGATATCAAACAAATTGATTGTTATTCGGTCAAAAACACCATAAATAACATGGGAACGAAAATGCGACTCTTGTCAAAACAATTCATATTTATTAACTCATTTAACAGTATATTAAATGAGAAGAACCATGAGGTGTTGTAGAGACAAGTGCTCTAAGTACTCCCAAAGCCATTCAACTCAATTTGTTAGTATTTCTATATTTGTTGGTCAATCAAAGCTAGCATTTCACTTCCAAACACAGAACGGTTCATCGATCAGCGTGCCAAAATATAACGATAATATAAAAACAGCACCCCACATATGATCCGGTCTGCCGTATTGTTTCTTGGATGCTTTCTAATCATATTTGGGATTGTGGATTGTTTATCATCGGTGGAATACAAGAGCTATGTGAGAGCGAATGGAGCGGCACGATACGTGTACCTCACAAATATATGTGCATACGTATCGATAGTGTGCTTTACGTTCGGACTGATCCTCAGAATCGGCAAAGTAATAACAGCCAAAAGATATTTTTTTGCCAGACTCACGACACTTAGGAAGCAACTCGTGCTCCGAAGGTGCTACGTTTCGGTGCTGCCCTTCATGCTAACGGTAAACTCGACGGTCATGTCTGGATATTGGTATCTCTTCTTCACCGATCAGGACTCTATCGTAACAAGGGAACCGGGTACGGATCACAAACCGAACACATTCATAAATTTGTGCAAGCACTTTGTCCCGTGGATCGTTACACTAATTGAGGCACTCTTCGTGCGTGCCCGGTACACGGTTCGTACTTTTGCAGCTGTGGTTGTCTTCGCAGTGCTTTACTACACGCTGATCCGTACCTACCACGCGCACAGCGGGAAGTGGCCATATAAATTTTTTAACGGCCAGTCGTACACAAAAGTTCTGGTGCTGGTTTGTGTCTTTGCTCTTGCTGGTCTTGTTATTGCCTATACCATCCTGAAGGTGCACGAGTTTGTGCGTAGGAACTATTTAGACAGGCAAAAGAGCAACAAACCTGGTTAGTGAGTCAAATAAAATGCTGCTCTCCACTAATTTCTTCGGTTCTCATGGTGCAGGCATGTTGCCACGTCCGGATCTGTAGCAGCAAATGTGACGTAATATCGGTGTACCGTCGATGCTAGTGGTCCTTGAATAGGTTTAATGAATCAAAGGGCCGTTTCTCGTGTAAGAGGAAATGTGGTTAACACATGTTTGGCGAATAGATGGATCACAATACGTGAAGACAACCAGCCACACGATCTCCTTCGCTGATCCATGAAGTGCTGTGTGTGGTAGTGGATGTGTGGTTGAGTAAATGTGAGAAGTTGTACGGCCGCTCTGTGTTGTGCAGGGATCTTCAAAGATCGAGAAGTGCCGGTTCGCTGCAGCGTGTACTAAACGGAGATGTGGATCAGAGGTGCAGAGCCTCAAATAATATGTTGAGCACTGCTCTGAACAAGGGTCAGCAGCGATTAAACGTAACCAGCACCTTTAAGAAGGATCTGTGAATTGCCATACAATTCCAATACAGGTCTTATAAAATGAGATGGGGGGTTTTGATTGAGATGGATTCCAAAATGCATGCTTGATGAAATATGAACTTACAAGGGAGTGGTAGCTAAAACACATGTTTTTTGAAATATAGCAGGGAAACGCGAAACCTTACATACTGCAGAAAAAACGTTATTTAGCGATAACTTCATTATTCTCGTTTTTTAACGATGTTGGCGTAGTTAATTGCAATAAAACTTAACATATGGTTGGAATAGAGCTTGAATTCAGGCCCAGCAAAGAATTAAATGTTCTTATTTATTAGAAGCGCGTCTTTTATCTCCTCATACCACATCATACAATCAAACATACTTTTCTTGTCTGCTGGGATAGGTTATGGCCACTGGTCTTTGATCCATAGAGAAAATCAGTGTGCCATTGTACAACACCTTCATGCGCACTCTTGCCACAAAGAAATGTATGCTGCAAGCGCAGCAGTGATATTACCACGCAAGTAGTGACTTGTGCAACGTCCCTCAAGAAGCACCTCGATGAACTCTCTGTTTTGGCGATCTATAAATAGGTGTAATATCGGCAATCCAATATCCAACCAAGGAAACGTGTTCGAAATTCGGCCCATAGTTGGCATTCACAGAGAAAGTGATGCGCGGTTTTCCTTTCATCCTTCCCACAAAATGGACATTTTTCCCGCATATCAGAGCGATTGCACAGTATCTAGCCAGGTGGTAGGCAGGGGATACGCTGGCAGAAGAGATACTCAAAAATGAGAGGCGTTAGCCCGAAGTAACAGGGGGATGGTGATGTACACAACGAGGTACCGGTCCTCATCATTGCAAGATAAAATATGACACGAGTACGAAGAAATCTTTGGCTATTGATGCACCGTTGCATCTGAAACGGACACATTTCGCCAACCATGGCAAAGAAATTAGTTCATAGCGAAATAGTTGGCAAAGACAATTGAACAAATTGGACCATGAATTCAGAGTCAATCGTGGATCGGCATTGCTTGGTGCCGAACCTCCAACACCACCGCATCTTACAGGCGTACTACAAGGTAAAAATGCATTACAACGATAGAAATCATTTTGGTACCGAGAGAGACAATCACGTACCATGTTACACACATGATAGGTGTAAGCTCTTGTGATTCGTAAATTATCACTTGTGATCATGCCACCGCTTAATTCATGCAACTGCTACCTGGTCAGATCTTTAATGTGTTGATCGCTGCTCCCTGCTCAAAATCTTTCGGGATGAGGGACAGATTTGCATGCATTCATCGGAAGAAATGAATACAAAGGTGCGCAGAGATTCGAAATCAATGTACCTCGATAATGAACTGCAATAAATCTCTAGAACAGCAATGTTTGGATAACAGGTCAACTTTTCTGTAATTTCAACAATCAAACTACGCACCTGCAATTTTTTGCCAAAAGGAACCGGAAAGCCCGGTAGTAGCTCATCAGTAAAACAAATTTTAAGTATCCGGAGAGCAGGCATCAGATGACTTATGCGAGATATGTATGGTAGAAAAATCTCATCGATCACCAGAACACCCAGCATATTGAGCATTGAATTCGGATATGAATGACGAACTTGACAACACGGCAGCCTGTTCTTGTCATGCCTGAGAGTCTCTGAAATATCGAGCATCTTAATAGTTCGCGGTAGAGAGTCGAAAAACTCCCCTGAAATGTTTTGTACAACCACTTTAAGAATCTCTAGATTGAGCAGCTTGTTGAAATGTCTGTAACAGTGTCGTGTGATCACATCAAATGTCAAATCCAGCCTTTTGATGCTATTTGTGGCTGTTGCACTCAACATAACACCTAACTCCTTATTTGCGGCGGTATTTGACTTCGCAGAAACAGAGGACTGTGCTCCCCTTCGTTTTGTTCGTGAACGTCCTGGAGAAGCCGCCGTATTTCCACCAGCAGCTTTTTTACGAGGTGCAAACAACTCTGCAACATAGGTGGATCGCTTGCTCTTCTCGCAATATTCTACTCCGTATTCGCTTTTAAACTGCAGTTGTTTTATTTTCTTGAACCGAGTCAGCAACAACGCAATTTTGTGCAAATTTCGATAAACATTGCGCACATCCAATTTATAAACAACAACTTCACCAACAAAGTCGACGGTACCAGATTCATTTTCTGCAAAGCATATCATTATTCGATGAAAGCTTTTTACCTTCCTAACATCAATCGAACAGCTGCACGTATGAATCTCGATTTCGTTGCAGGCCCCACTGATGACCACCTGTGCACGTCCTTCAGTAATTATGTTGCGCAATGTGACAGATCTGTTTTTACTTCCCAATTCGATTGATGTGTAGATGTTGATATTGCACAGTTCCGTGTGATTTAGTGATGTGTTCCGAATCGGTATGACTCGTATTTTCATGTGTTTGAGTAAATGCAGCCCTGTACCTATATAGGGTGTTAAATCCATCAGTCCCTCGCATTCGGAGATACTGATGTGCTCATTCTCATTAAAAAATAGCATTTCGGAGTCAGGAAATAGTTGGACATGATCAAGCGTTATTTTGCTAGCTTTTGTGCAGAAGCATACCGCTCCCTCAACATAGGCATGCCTGATCGTAAGAAGTCCCTTGCTGGTGCAAAGCTCGAAAAGCGCCTCATGATGTTCCTTGAATACCACCTCGTTGAGGCCCGTAATGCTCGATAAATAAATTGAGCCTGTTGTGTTACTTACAAGGATATGTTCGCATTCTTCATTGAACGAGAGATTTGCTCCTTTTTTTATTGCTGAGTCCAAAATTTTAACGGTTCTTGTGTGGCACGGGAACACAAAATCGATGCTGAACGCGTAATTCGCATACTTCAGGTACAAAAGGCCTCTAAAAAAGAAATCAATCATCTCCATCGATTGATTCACAAGCACAGCCTTCACATTCCTGACATGTTCGGGCATTGAGTTGATAAAACCGATCGCGCAAGAGTCGCATATTACACCGGATAAGTTCTCCATATAGAAAAAATGTGGCGGATAGAACCACGACATGACCCTATTGAACACCAGGGTTACGTTTGCGATATTTTTACTGCTTAAAAACCCACATTGGGAAAGAAAAATAAGCTGGTAGGTAAGCATCTCATTTGATATGAAGGTTTTTTCAAGGCTCATACCAATTGCTGTCACCTGCACATCAAGAGAAAACCCATTGGCACGACCAAAGAATTTTTCCACCAAAATGTATTCGTTGTTCATCAGATAGCTGCACGTCATTATCAGGTTCTTTACTAAAAATCCTATTGAGAGTTCATTTAGGCCAACAGAATAGCACAGATGCCCTGACAAATTGTCTTTTGCGATTGTTTCTGCTGTTTCATTCAGGCCATCTTTGATTGCAAATGCGATATTTGAGTTCACTAACTGTCTAAAACTGTTTGTGCTGCCGCTTGCGTCGAACACAACCTCTGCAAGGCGCTGTAACTTATCACTGCGATTATTTTTGCTCGCGCGATCACCACACATTTTCAATCTCCAGACTAAATCGAGATTTTTCTGGAGATGCGCACACATCCCATACACAATAATTCCGGCTTTATCTTGTAAAGGGAAAAGATGCATGGCGATTAGGCACATATCATCGAATGTGAACTCTGGAATGTTTTTCTCTGACGAATACATTATTTTGTGGAATAAAGATTCTGGAAGCGGCACATTGATAATTTCTAGCATCATGTCCCTGCCGCCCTGGACAATATCGATGTAGTTTTTATGGTCTGGTCTGCTGCTACCACAAATCACCCCGAAATTTGACCTTGTCCGGTCTGCCAACGTATAGTTAATGCTATTCCGTTGAATGCAAGATTGGCTTTCTGACATGCTTTGGCCCGTGTTAGTTGGTAGCGGGTGTAGCACCTGTCCTGTTCTACACCCACTTAGAAAGCAAGCCATACCAGTGTCTTCTAGAAAATCAACAACCATGTGTTTGCAGCATTGATCGTTGATCTCGGCGGTGAACAGCAAAAGATACCTGATGGTCAGTTCGGCATATTTGTGCAAGTCGCAGAACATGAGCTCAAGTTGCGACGGCCTTTTATTTTATGGCACTGGATGCATCGGGCAAATTTTCATTTGCTGCAATTGTTGGTCACAATAAATCACCAATGTACTCATTTAAGCTAATGAAACACATGAAAACATTATGGAACTGCTTCGAGCCACCACAACCATGAGCTCCTCAAACAGCGACGCGCTGCCATTAAGATGCTATAATATGATGACGAACAAGAGGTGCTGCAGCACCTGAGAAGCTAAGCGGTTGTTGTTCAGGCAATCCTTCTGCGTTAATCAAAATTTGTTTTGCTCTCGTGGCAGTGTAGAACTAGGAAATAATCAAGAATAGGTGTTTGATGCTTTATCGTGTCATCATGGTGCAACAGATACGGCTTATACGAACCTCCCACCGAATGTGCTCATAATTCGAGATGTGCGATCAGAGACTGCACAGTTTATAATGCAGCAAAAGAACATTTCTCATGTCATGTATTTAATTAGGAATATTTGCCAGAGCAGCAATAATATTTTGGGTGTTTCAGCAATAAAACGAACACAAAGCAATAAATACAATAGAATTACTCTATCGCATCCATGATGCCTAGGTTGAACACGGATTATCACCGAAACCATCACAATTTGAAGTCGGAGCAAAATTAGCCTTTCCCTGTGTCGTGTGTGGTCATCAACACTGTGGAAACTTTACGAACTGTACTAAGTGGCTAGTTCGTCATGAAACAGAACAAAAATGGTTATACGCGAAAAAACCGTTCATACTCAGACGTAACCGTCCTGTTGTTTGAAAAACTACCTAATTATCACCTCGCAATTGAATGGCTCTACTTTTTCTGGCCTTTTCTTCTTCTGCTTTTCATGGCAAGGATCAAAAATTAATTGTTGGCAAGAAAGCGGATATTCTACCTATTGTCCACAGAAAACGGCTGAGCACATCTCTGCAGAAGCGAAATAAAGAACAGCTTTGTGCCTCTACTTCGATTTGTGGAGCACAAGTCTTTTGCTCCTTTCGATAGCTCGTGCAATTCACTTTCACAAACGGTTAATTATTTTCCAAGTTGCCTCGTTACTTGTGCTGTGGCATTTGCTATGCCTACGACAATCACCCATTTGCAGCCTATATTGGCGGTTTGTATGCCCATAAACATCATAAGACTTCTAAATATCGCGTCGTGCAGCAGATAACAATGATTTGCGTTTTGATAGCATTGCCGCATCGCTGAAGTTCTACTGTGGCTATTGCGGAAGCTCTCGTCGGAAATTTAACGCTGCTGTTTCAAGAGCATCAGCTCATGTGCGTTCTTCAGCCTTTAAACGAGAAACACGTTGCTATAGACTTCTGAATAAAGCACCTCACACAAAATGGACGCACAGCATGAGAAAAGGCAGCAGAACGGTGCAGGTCACCTATAAATGCGGTGGATATTTGTGCATCTCGTACAGAACTGTGCTGCTATGCCATAAAACAATAAATGCGCTCAGAAGGCTGCAATAGCCGGTATACTGTGATGCACACTAAATGATCGACACAGCAGTGGATGGAAACGTACTCGTGCTGTGGTGCAGGCCAGGCATGATGTGAAGAGACTTTGTTATCTGCGTGCTGATGTAATGAATGAGCTTTGGTGTACCGCAGCGTGTGCTCTGTTCCAGTTGATCAACCGCAATATTTATGCATATACCGGTTTATTTTGGATAAGTATTTGTTTGAGGACCCTTGTTGACCTAAGGATGATGTCCGGGTTGGTGCGTGGATGGCGTGTCAGGTCTGCTGTGGCCGGCGTGGCCTGCCTCAGGGCGGGTCAGGCGGTCTTCAACGGCGGGCAATGCGCGAGGACGGCAACGTAGCAGCGAAAACCGCGGCAGCAGTTAGTCTGGCACTGCTCACCTGCTTTTGTCTCGCTCTTCTTCTGCCAGCTTAGAAGAAGCAAATTGCTGCCCACAGAGCCCATTACGGTGTACTCGTGACTGGAACAGAAAGGAAAGGGTTTCTGGCTCGGCTTCGAAGACGGCAAACAGAAAGACTCGTGGACCAAGTGTCCGGTTCACGCGCCTGTTATTCGTGCTTACCATCCGGGATAGCAATCGCTTCTGACGAAGTAGCACGCTGCAGCAGCACCTTGTTCTGTGCATTGCCAGACCCCGGGATATTTGTCGTTGCTGTGGGCTGTGTATACGGTGATAACACGCTGCTCGACGTGACATTGGCGCGAGAACCTTCGGTCGCCCTTCAAATGTTGATGCTGGATGCGCAGCAATTGGCGAAACTCTACAACCATTCCTTAACCGTATTTATTAGCAGTTGATCAGAGCTTAAGAAATGCTCAGTTCTCAAACACGTTCCAGACATCCGAGTTGTCTGGTTTGCTTCTTCTCTCTCGCCTCGATCTCTTCAACCGTGCTACTTCATCCTGGAAACACCGTATTTTACTCTCGTAGTCATTTCGCATCCTGGCAATCACGTCTCTATCTCGCACTGCCTGTTCGTTGAACACAGCGTTTTTTAATTTACAAAGACCATCCACAAGCTTCATCACATCTGCCAGTGGCTCACGCAAACTGCTGCATTCTGCTCTCAGGACTACCAGCACGCGCGAGACTCGACTTATTTTTTCCCGATAAACCCGCTTTAAATCCCTCCTTGTGTCCATATTTCTGAGCAGAAGATTCCTCTGTACCGTGTGGTTCTCGTTTGCTCTGGCCAGGTCCGTTCCAATCGTTTCAATTGCTGTTCTGATTCCATCCATTGTTTCTTTTCCCCTCAATTCTTCCTCCAGCAACTGCTTGTCGTGCCGCATCTTTCCGTTCTCACTTCGTGCCCTGTGCAGTTCATCTCTTAAACCGGCCGCCTCTTCCCTGCATCTTGCTGTCTCGTTTTCTGTTTTCAGGGCATTCTCCATCGAATACACACGTGTCTGCATGTCCGCTACCATTTTGAGCAGCGGACCGTGATCTGTTCCACTGATCAGAAGATTCTTCACTCGCCCGAGCTCTGCAACAAACACATCCGTGATGCGCTTGTTTTCTGTTCTGAGCATGTCTAGCTCTCTGCCCAGAATGTCTAGATGATGGTTTTTCTGCATGTTGTCGGTTTTCATCACGTTGTACGCGAATAGGCAGATCGAGAAGCAACTTTTCCAACACTGTGCAGCCTGCCGTTTCAACAGGGCATCCCGTGTTTCTAACGGGGTCTGGTCCGTTTTCGTGTTTTTCAGCATCTTCTTGCGATGCCCTGTCCCTGCTTCTTTTTGTTGTATTTCCGTTTATCAACCCGCTGAACCGTGGCGCGAATGGCCGCCTTTCGAAGATGTTCTTTATGTCAATGCTTTCGAACAGCTCGCTTCTCTCGCCAATTTCCGTTCCTGCATCGCCTGCTGCTCCAATCCGTTTCTGGCACAGAGAATCCTCCCGAGATAAATCGCTTTTGCCACATGCATCATCACACGCTCTGCTACGCACATCGTCTTCAAGAGCATTTGCATCATTCCCTGTACCATCTGCGGTTGCGTTGCTGGCGTTCTTTCCTAAATTGCCGCCTATTCCGACGGCGTCCTTCTTCTCGGTCTCATTCCCGTCTTTTTCTGAATTGTCGCCGCATTCCGTATTACCGTCGCTGACGTTATGCTCGGCATCGATCAGCATCTCAATCTCGTCACAGAACTCCCTCTCATCTCTGCTAATATTCCGCCTGTCCATCACGAGATTAAGCTCTTTCGTCTTGTACCGGTTCTCAAACACGAATTTGTTCTTGGGAAGCATTTGCCGCGCATGAATAGTCAGCTTTTAATATTACACACACCATAGTTGGCAGCAAATACCAAACGGGCTTGTTTAACACCACCTCTCACACACCTGTCCCGCCAAATACGCTCTGCGTTCCTGCTCTGACCACGGCCTGTTACCACTTGCTCCAGTGGCATATTTTGCACAACTGTTTCTGCTCAACACCATTTATTTATCCTCTCACATTGCTGCAACATCCAAGCAAACACACCGTTCTGCTCCACTGAGACTGACTGTGGTCATTAACCCCCCATCTCATTTTATAAGACCTGTATTGGAATTGTATGGCAATTCACAGATCCTTCTTAAAGGTGCTGGTTACGTTTAATCGCTGCTGACCCTTGTTCAGAGCAGTGCTCAACATATTATTTGAAGCTCTGCACCTCTGATCCACATCTCCGTTTAGTACACGCTGCAGCGAACCGGCACTTCTCGATCTTTGAAGAACCCTGCACAACACAGAGCGGCCGTACAACTTCTCACATTTGCTCAACCACACATCCACTACCACACACAGCACTTCATGGATCAGCGAAGGAGATCGTGTGGCTGGTTGTCTTCACGTATTGTGATCCATCTATTCGCCAAACATGTGTTAACCACATTTCCTCTTACACGAGAAACGGCCCTTTGATTCATTAAACCTATTCAAGGACCACTAGCATCGACGGTACGCCGATATTACGTCACATTTGCTGCTGCAGATCCGGACGTGGCAACATGCCTGCACCATGAGAACCGAAGAAATTAGTGGAGAGCAGCATTTTATTTGACTCACTAACCAGGTTTGTTGCTCTTTTGCCTGTCTAAATAGTTCCTACGCACAAACTCGTGCACCTTCAGGATGGTATAGGCAATAACAAGACCAGCAAGAGCAAAGACACAAACCAGCACCAGAACTTTTGTGTACGACTGGCCGTTAAAAAATTTATATGGCCACTTCCCGCTGTGCGCGTGGTAGGTACGGATCAGCGTGTAGTAAAGCACTGCGAAGACAACCACAGCTGCAAAAGTACGAACCGTGTACCGGGCACGCACGAAGAGTGCCTCAATTAGTGTAACGATCCACGGGACAAAGTGCTTGCACAAATTTATGAATGTGTTCGGTTTGTGATCCGTACCCGGTTCCCTTGTTACGATAGAGTCCTGATCGGTGAAGAAGAGATACCAATATCCAGACATGACCGTCGAGTTTACCGTTAGCATGAAGGGCAGCACCGAAACGTAGCACCTTCGGAGCACGAGTTGCTTCCTAAGTGTCGTGAGTCTGGCAAAAAAATATCTTTTGGCTGTTATTACTTTGCCGATTCTGAGGATCAGTCCGAACGTAAAGCACACTATCGATACGTATGCACATATATTTGTGAGGTACACGTATCGTGCCGCTCCATTCGCTCTCACATAGCTCTTGTATTCCACCGATGATAAACAATCCACAATCCCAAATATGATTAGAAAGCATCCAAGAAACAATACGGCAGACCGGATCATATGTGGGGTGCTGTTTTTATATTATCGTTATATTTTGGCACGCTGATCGATGAACCGTTCTGTGTTTGGAGATGAAATGCTAGCTTTGATTGACCAACAAATATAGAAATACTAACAAATTGAGTTGAATGGCTTTGGGAGTACTTAGAGCACTTGTCTCTACAACACCTCATGGTTCTTCTCATTTAATATACTGTTAAATGAGTTAATAAATATGAATTGTTTTGACAAGAGTCGCATTTTCGTTCTCATGTTATTTATGGTGTTTTTGACCGAATAACAATCAATTTGTTTGATATCTGCGATTTGTGCAGTTTTCGGAAAATATTCATTTTTGGTACCGCTGTGAAAATTTAATTAATCACTAAAAAACATTTTGATGCGCTAGCATGCGAAACAAACCCAGAAATAGCTACTGAAGCAATGAAGATATGCTTATGAAAACATGAGTAGAATTGAACAAAAGAAGAGTCACAGATTATTGTTATGTGGTTGACTGTTCCAGGTCATGCAATTAATGTAATCAAACACCAAAAATTCAGCTATTGCTGGTTATTCTTACTCATCACCATTTATTACTTGTTTGCGAGGACGCCAAAAATTTACAAAATTGTGGTTGAAATTTACATCATGTAGCAATGCTAGGTGGAAAATAAACATTGATTTTTGTGCTTGCTTTGTTCAGCATACTTATAATATCGTTGTATACGTCTCTGTGCGCTTATACCATCCTCATTTTGTCAGCAGAGCAAGCTTGTTTGTACCTTGTGAAGAATTAGCGAAGTTGCCATGAAAAGGGCATAACAACCAATGCGATAGCATGTTTTTATTCCCAACGGATTTGTTATTATCCTCAACATGCGCATTGCATCTTTTAACAAATATCTTGAAACGCATACAGCCATTGGACACATGTATTTAGTTGAGGATCCCCAGCTGGGCATCTAGCTCACGAAACGGTGCATGCGTCAGTCTTTTCGTCTGTTACGTTCAGGCTGATCATCAGTTTTTGGATTTGAAACTGGATCTCATTTCGTTCATCTGGTAGATGGCATCCCCTCCACACGATAAAAGCTGTCTGATTCCTGTGTGATTTTGGTCAAATATTTATCCACATATGTACTATCCATTCCACAAATATGATCTAAAGCAACTGTTTACTGTTCATCCCTGTGATACCACGAACTCAATACATTGCCAAACCCATCAGCTCAGATCTCTCATCCTCATATAAATCTGTCTCCTGTGCCTGGAAGCCAAGACATGCTAATCTACCAATTTGACCACCATAACACACCAGTCTTGCTACATAGTTATCCCATGATAAGTATGTCTGAATGCACACACCATGATAAACACAAATGCAATACTGATCACCTGTTCCATTACATCTCCTGTGTTACTACACTATTTGAAACGGATAATAGTGCTATGTACGAATATTGTGATCCTTTTTGTTAACTTATAGAATGGAGATAAATAAATTTAGGTTATCTATTACAGCCATTTACAGACTAGAAGTGGTAAAACGACTGATTGCCTGCATGTTGTATTAGCAGTGTCACAACAATTATGTGCTGAAAGTTTGATTTCTGTACTTATTTGTTATGTTTCTTGGTATGCCTGATAGGTACAAATCACGCATATTTTCACATGTATAAGACCTTATGAGCTGTCATCCAGTTTAAGAACACGCGATAATTGAGTAAAAGCGCTCGCAATACAGTTTGGATCTACCTGTTAATCTTCAAACCTGGTGTGTATGCACCATTGCACGCTCGCTGAATCTTATTCATGATTGTGTTGATCTATATTCTCTTATATAAACACCAATCGCCGTTGTTCGTTGAGCGAAGCGTGCATACCGTTCTATTGTCTGATGTTTGTTAGTTTCTACTCATGTCTGCGCTTGATGTGCACGATTATCGCTTAGTAATTTTTATTTTTGTGTGCTGAATGCGATTGCACGATGCACCAACCAGGCTGTGGACCGGTCACAGATGATGAAAAGTCTGCTGGCCTTTCGACCGTCGGTTTTTATCTCTTGACGAGCCCGCTGCGAGTTCTTAATGATTTATCGAAGCGAGAATTGCGAGCTACAAAGCATGATATGGTAGTGCGTGATTACACGTTCGCGCCACTGACACGTACTGCAAATTGTGTTGTCATTCTATTGCACACTGCTCGTGAGTCAATCACATATGGCAATGAACACTGTCGAATGATGTTTTACGTTGTATGGAAGTTAGGATACAACGTCATTGATGAACTTAACTTCAAGTGATTGTTGCTTTCTCCAAATTTTTTTACGAAATGAATCAGTGATCGGTCTATACGGCGTACCAGATCCAGGTCCTCTTCAAGATGTGTCCCGAACGTGAACATTCTAGCCTGCAAAATTAGTGCAGCCTCTTGATCAAACCCTTGTTTAAATTTCTGAAGTTTCCCGACAACCCTTGCTGCCGTTGTCACACGAGTGATCAACTTGCGATCGCTCTGCTGGTATTGTGTGATTATCTGTATGTAGCTGACTTGATCCTCTCGCCTATTGGTTTTACAGTCAAAAATAAATCCTACATTGCTATTCCTGTGCAGCGATCCTAGTTTCCACCCGATTTGCTCGTTCTTCTGGTTCAATAAAGGCGAACCAAGGCCTATACCAGACCTGTACATAAGTACTTTCGTCTGTATCTTAAATTTAGCGTTAAAGATCATTTCCATTACGCCATTTTTTGATCGAACGTTCTTCTCGCACGATGTAGTGAAAATATCATGATCAAAATCTTGTGCCATAATCACCAAACCACTAGTGAGGTTTTTCAACGACTGCATTTCGTATAATCCTATATCGTTGAGAGTGGCCGACAGAATATCAATCGACAGTCCCAGATTGGCCATCCTCTTTGCTAGTCCATCAAAATATCTCTTTGATTCTCTCACATATTTTACCTTTCCACGCAGAATGTCATTCCCTGATCTTATGTTTTCCTTGAGATTAAGTGATGCCATTATCCCAGGCCCAAATGTAATAGGTCCCTCAGTGAACAGAAATATGTATAAAACATTTTCGATTCCAAACCTCTTTTTCGATAAATTAAACCAATGTTTAATCATGTCATCTTCATCTTGTTCCTTTGTCAGCTCCTTTTCTCGAAATTGAACTTTTGCTTGTTGCGTTTCAGTTCTCTTTTCCAGGGCGGCATATTCCTGTTCTTCTCTAAGGCTTTAGCCACTCATTTCTCGTCTAATCTTGTCTTAGCCATTTCTTCCCGAATCTAATGGCAAATGTTTTCGCAAAAACTTAGTTTAATTTATGGCTTTTTTCCTCTGATGTGCAGCAACCAAACATACTGACTAGCTTTCTCCACAAGGTTTCTTTCTTCTCGCCAGACCTTTGCTTCTTTATATAGTACGCAATAATATCCTTCAAGACCTTGTTGCTCTTTATTAGCCCATCATTCGTTATTTCGAGCTCGCAAACCTTGTTCTTATACGTCGACATTATTTCCAGATTGTACAAGTATATGTACCACATCTGCTCGGGAAACGAGTCGCCCTCAAGATTAATGCCGGGTGCGATGGTATCCTGTATGCACTTTACAGCATTTGAAATTGCCGCCTGCAACTTGGCATCTGGCGTCTCGTTAGCGTCTTCTCTCCTGTGCTCGTTCTCTATATCCAGAACTGTCCGCCTGTAAGTCTCTTGGAGCTGCGAATTCTGAATGTTTAGGGATTGTATGGTGATGCGCAGCTCAATAATGTGGTCCCTGCACTTCCTTATTGCACGTTGCAGAGTGGTTATCTTTTCCTTTGCGTTGCACATCGAGTGCAATCCGTATAATCTGGCAATAAATAGCTTGTTCGCAATTATATTGCCTGTCAGAATATCGTTCACTGTTATTGCATTCTCTATTCCCAGGAATCGCGCCAGCCTAATAACATAGTGTATACGCCGCACACTGTCCTCCTGGTTCCACAAGTGCATGAGGATCACGGGCGAGATGCAGAAATAAAACGCCCTTGCGATTAGCAGTCCGTACACCCTGCCATCCTTCAGATCGGAAGAGAAGTTGTGGCATTCCAACGACAGTTTTTCCATCGCCTCATACTCAGCGCCTTTAAAGGCCGACCTGTTCATCTCGATGCTTACACCTGCTTCTGAAAGTCTGTCGCAGAAAATCTTCTCGCTATTCAGGTCCTGGCCGTTCCTCGTCTCCTTAAAGCATGTGTGGTAGTTCACCCATTCAAGCAAGCTTCTGTCCACGACCTTCTCATCGGGTCGGCAGATTATCTGGTGATGAAGCACCTTCACAAGGCTAAAAACGAGCTTCTCGTCACATTCTATCACATCGAGGGGCGCAATAAAGCCTATATCGACGAAATTGGACTTCAGCTTATCGAACACTCGCCGTATAAACGTGAGCCGGTCATGGTTGTCGGACCTTGAACCAAGATCGTACTTGACAGTATCATCAATGCTTATGACTCTCAGCAATGATGCCAATATTTTTCCCTGAGCAATCTGCCTAAAAATGCATACTTGAGGCTGTAAATGCAATTTGATGCTCGTGTTATCCTCTATCTCGACGAGATACTCGCGAGTCATCTTTGCAAGACTAGATATCGTGTTCTTTTCCATGATAAACAAACGTCTTTCTCTTTATATACTTTTATTCTGCAATCTGAAGCAAATCTATAACATGTGATAAGTGATTTTTGAAACACAAGAAGTTAATTAAAACGCGAATTGTTTTTTGTGATAAATGGGTGCAAGGCTGGCAGGTATGCAGTCAGCATGCGATAAATCACGTTGACTAGTCGTTCAGAGTCCATAGCGTTTCAAGAGAAGGAACGGTCACAGTTTCGCACTTTGTTATAGATCCAACTGCTTCGATGGTGTTTCAGGTGTGATACTGCGCAGTTTCACATGAACAAAGATGGTTGAATTATATTATGACAATCTGCAGTGTTCTAACTGATGAAATTGAATTTCCTTTTTAATATTTATCGAATAAGCGATGTTTGATTCGGAGTGATGCGGTCCAGATCTTGTGGCACACGCATTTGTACTTCTGTGTTGAGTCCAATAACATGCGGATGCTTCCTCCCTGTCTGGCACCTGCGTAAACGCAGCGTGTTCGTAGTAATAAACATTGCAGAACAACACGGTGTGTTCGTTCTGACGCTAAGCAGGTGGTGTTCATTGTTTAACAAATTATCCCTTTCGCCGTGGTTTAATGTTTGATGCACGCAGGAGCATGAAATGCATCCGCTGATTAAACCATAAATATCAGGTTTGATAATTCATAGAAAACAAATTTTGAATGCATGAGCGTTCTGCCGTTTTATTGCAGATGCATTGTTGTTGTTAGATTGCCACAAAATAGGACTTTTCAATTTTAATACCATTAAATTTTGACGTTTCAAAAACTTTGATATTTATTAGCTTCAGAGGTGGAGAAGCTTTCAAAATGTGTTGGTAAATGATTCACAAACATTACGATCGTTGTGATCAACTGAAGTACCCTGTGCTCATATAAATTGGATCGAGGGCTTGTTGGTAAGCTTGGGATTGTGAGTAAAATGTTTGCGCCAACTGTTAAAATTATCGCAACCTCTTGTCAGTATTAAATGATGTGTACTACCCTGAAAACAACAATCATTAGCTAATTAGACTAGCGAAATATTTTATGAGACGTATGAATTTAGCAGTTTTCTGTTAGTATATCCCTTCATTGTACATAGAGATTACCAGAATAACATCATTAGCAAAGCTTTCGAACGTAAATACTGTTGATAGAGGGATATGTGATTTAATATCGACGTAAGAGGATGTTAGCTCCGGTGATAAGAAACAATTTGGTTGACGTAAATTTAATAGAGGTATAGATATGCACATGTTCAAAAATAACACCCTGAAAGCGGCATTGTCTTAGCAAAACTAAGGCATTTAACACAAAAATTCACTTTTCTTTTTGTGTTTCGTCAATTACTTTGCTTATCTCTGTTTTGGCAATGCCGAGTCTGACTTGCTCATGTTCACGTATTTTAGCATCATAAATATCAAGTAAATATACATAATTATATCCGTTCCATTTCAAAGATTGTTTTATGGCAGCGATTGCATTATTTACTTCTTCTAGTGGCCGTCTTTTCCAGAAAATTTTCGGTTCCAAAAACTTCATAATTGTTATAATATGTGCCTCAATCATAGCGGGAAAATACTTAAGCAAATTAAAATTTTCAAGTATACCTTTTTCCTCATCATAAAATTTCATTAAAATGTGAAAAGCTTGCCCTAATGTTCCTGCCAGACTCTCAAAACATAATTCGTTCAGCTTTTCGGTGAATCTTCTTATGAAAAATTTTGCTATTAGCTCTGTGTTGCCGGTTTTTAAAATTACTTCGAAGTTTTCATAGGTGCGCACCTTGTACAGGTGCGGTTTGCTTTCCACAAATCTGTTCGTTTCCAGTAAATATCTCTCATATTCCACATTGCCAGACTTCTCCAAACTTTTTTCATCTTTCTCAGACTCGTATGTATATTCTTGCCAAACAGTATAGACTTTTTCTAGTGATTTATAATTACCACTAACCTTCAAGCGTATGGGATCAACCAGCAGAATTAAACAATCCTTCTCCATTTTCATCTGCACAAGATCGTACGAAAACACGTTTAGGAGTTTATATTTGTTTACGCCTTTTACCCCAACAAAGAGAAAATCGTTTGTAAGCAGAATTACACCACTCCGCTCCGTGTTATTGTGTTCAACACTTATGTTTACATAATCCACCAAGTATCGTTTTTCAGTTTGAAACAAACTCATATCATCTTCAAAATCAGTAAATTTCTGCTCTAATTCATCCCTCTTTTTATCATCAACGAACGTTATTACCTCTTTTTCTCTGAGTCTCACTATTAATTTTTTATAGTTGGCCAAATTCTCCTTGATTTCTTTTTTGAAATTAGCTACCTTACTGTAATTATCCAATACATTCATAAAATGATCCTCGTTCTGTATAAACTCCTGGAGAATGCTTATCTCAAGATCTTTTTTTTTGCTCAACAAATCATTCTTTGCTGCCTTTAAAACACCTATATCGTCCGGATATCCTTTTTTATCGATGTATGATGCAAGATCAAAGTTCTCTCCAAAATCCCTGAACTTTGAATGAGATGCCATGAGGGGGTCGGGAAATTTTCGCAAATAGACGGACAAACTCGCTTATGCCAACGTTCCGAATTTAAAGTGAATACTTATTACCTCTCATGTTACATCTATGTAATAAAGGTTTTACTCGTAATAACAAGATAAAACACGCAATTTTCAATAATAAATGTAAAGAACTTTGCTGTTATATCAATATAACATTCGTAAAACCTTAATTATTGCGCTATACTTCTTCAAACCAGTTCTTTTATTGAACATCTTTGGTACCGAAATTGTTTAACGACAAGAAATGATGTGAATCAGAAAAGAATTGAAATACTCAACAAAAAATACAATTCTGTTTATAAACAGACAAAATCCATGTATTAAAACAGCATGCAAGAAAATATGGTGTGCTGTCTGCAGAACAATGTTTTATCAATTGTTTACGTTAATCTGCCAGAAATTTGTTGAGCGTATGTGATGTGCCTAACGTATGAAAGGTTATTCAAAAAAGGCAATGTGCGATGAATGTGTAGTATTATTAGTTAAACACATTTTTTATGAAAAGAAAAAGTTTTACGGAATAAGACAGGTCACAGTTTCTAGACATGAATGTATGTAAAATAATGTGACTTTTACTATATGAACACTTCAAAGATAGTAGAAACATGATAAAGATGTTGTGATCATACAAGATGTAATAAAAGTAACAGGCAAATTTAATAGTATTTGTTCGTGGTATGATAAGGACAAAAATAATCTATTAAGCAAAGGCTGCAGCAATAAAAAGTTCTAAGGTCCAAAGAAATCGAGTTAGGAAGATTTAGGCCAGATCCAAAAATTGTTTGATTAAACATATTCTTTATGAAGCATTCAAGACTGCAAAACTGTTTACTGCATTTCTGATCTTTTTCGTGTAGTAATTGACAGTTCGCTTTCAGATGTAAAACAGGATAAAACCGTTTTGAAATAATTATGAGGTAATTCTTTGCCCTTTAGAACACACAATCAGATGTGTTAAAACTCATTTGTAAACTAAGTTGTAGGGTGTATATTATCACCGTATATGGAAGCTGCATTTATGTTTAAGACAAAGGCACAAAAATTTATTACGAATGATACGTATTGATATTGGTAAACAGTTAATATACCATGATTTTCTCACAGTTTGTTTCCAAATTGAATAACTTATATGAGTTTCTGCCAAAAAATTCGTACAAAGCAAATAAAAATATATATGCAGCAGAAAGATGCGCAGAAGATGAGTGAAAATAACAAAGTATTATATTCTATGAGATATAAATAAAACGATGTTACATTCATTAGAAGGAAGGTACAGACTAACGCACCTAACCTAAATGAACAGCAAAGCGAAAAAAATCATTTTGATTGATAAATGGCCCTCTCTACATGAATGTGATGTTAATAGTGCTATCAATAGGTAATTATTGGGAAGATCTATAGTCTGAATAAGTCTGCTGATCAGGGTTTATGGTAACATGTGCGAGAATGGTGCTGCCGATAATAGCGGTAAGCATTCGAATGAGAACAAATCTGACTTACTATGTGAATACATAAAAGAATATATGATATTGTTATATTTTTTATCCAAAACTGTTATAAAACAGGTTTGAAACCTGCTAGGTTTGAAGGAAAAATATAAAAAAAATCATTGCAAAGTAAGACAGTATCAAGCAATGATTAGTAAGATAGATGATTCAATCCATAATAATAATCAAATGATATCGAGTCAAACTGCCTACCACAATTATCAGATGCCTCATTCCACATGTTGCACGGTAGTGTGTAGGAGTGATAAAAATATCGCAAAGTAGCGACAGGAATCGGTAGAAAAAAGCATTTTCTTAGTAAAGATCTCAAATGCAATACAATATGTGTGAAAAACTATGCATTTGATATAGATTATACACTAAAAGACAGGCCGCAAGATAACTGTACCAAACGACCCGGCACTGAAAGTATAAACAACAAGAGCAAAACGCGTATTTGTTCAGGTATATTATCTGCAGGAGGCTTACTGAACATGAAAAATCATTAGCAGATTACAAACAATGCTTCGGTGTTCAATTGATAGAGGTTATAAGTCGATTAAGATTTATTTGAAAATCAAAGGTATCTGATGCAGAATCTTATTATTGATCATGGAATAACCTGTTTCAAAAATCAATGTAGCACGCATATAGTTTTGGGATGGTGTTAAAGTGCAAGAACGAAATTGCTGGATCCTAAAAAATGAATGATTGATTAATGAATAGTGGAAAAGATGAACACCGAATGTGTTATGAGCACTAAGAATAATACGAACGGTGGAAAGAAGGCATGTATGCCAGTAAAAGCGCTTAATCCGTTTCTGGAGAAATGGATCTTGAAGAGTACTATGCAAAAAATGTTACATGTGGAAGCTTTAGAAAAAGAATGATAAGTTCTTCAACTTTGAACTGCTTGCAAGAACAGAAAACATCGAGTTCGTAGTGTTCAACAGCGGTGCAGATTGGCTCTACGATGCGATTACAGAAGGTTCTGCTATGGAAGCAAATAAGACGTACCGAAAATTTGCAAAAAAGTTCAAGACAACAAGCAACAATCATTAAACATGCCCAGAAAAGAACAGTATAGTCAGTTTGGTAGACGAATAGGAGTTTGCTATATCGTTTTATCTATGCAAGATCAGCGATCTAACGAAAACGTGAACAAGGCTAGCGTGATGGATAAACAAAGTGGTTCAGCGAAAAATCAAAAGGCCCAATCCAGGCCTTATGGACAAAACAGCACCATAAAGGCAATGCTGTGAGATAAAAAGGCAAAATTGAGCTGGATGGATTAGCTTTGTTACTTTTCAAAATGATGAAAGAATGGCCGATTTTCTTGTTCTATTGCTCAAAAAATATGTCGAGGAGAGATTTGCAGGGCCGTTGAAAAGCAATGAGAGAATAACCCTTTCGTTGGACGATATAAGAAGAATGGACAGGGAGCTTAGCGCAAAGATCCTGGAGGAGCCCATTTCGTTCATACCGCTTGTAGAGGACGAATTAAACGTTAAATTTTCGTTTGTCGGCTCATTCGGTGAATATCAGCATACCCCGTCAACCATAACATCTAATTTTCTTGGCAAGATGGTGAAAGTTGAAGGAATCATCACCTCACTCTCTAACATTAAGCCGAAATTGAAGAAAAGCGTACATGAACAGCACAATGCATTCTACAGCAAAGAGTACAGAGACGCAACGACACTGACAGCGTTTCCCCTCACCAACACGGTGGTGCCACAAACACTTCAAAATGAGGTTTTGAACTTCGAATATGGTTTCAGCACCTACATTGACACACAGGCAGTCACCATACAGGAAATGCCGGAAAATACCAAGCCTGGTGCAATGCCCAGATCGATGAATGTCATCCTTTACGATGACCTGACCGATTCACTGAAACCGGGTGATCGAGTTGTGTTGGCCGGTATTTACAAGACCTACTGCTATAATAACACGAATTTTCCGAATTATTTGCCGACCGCGCTGATTGTAAATCATGTTGAAAACAAAAATATAAAACAAATATTCGAGGAGAGGTTTAAAAAAGTAACATGCGAACGCACAAATGAGTATACCACACAGCTGAACGAGAATGGTAATATCTCCAATCAAATGGGCGATACCAATAGGCATGAGCAGATCCCATGCTCCAATTTCCCCGATGGTGAAAGCACAGTCACATCAGAAAACGTTCTGGAGTACGTAGCACCATTCATTTTCATTTCGCCACAGATCAAAAAAGCTATTCTTCTGCAAATGATCGGTTCAGAGAACGATGTGTGTCGAAGAAGTATAAATTTACTGCTGCTGGGCGATCCTTCAACCGCGAAGAGTCAGATACTGCGATTTGTCATAAATACGATGAATGCGATTAGTACTAGCGGCAAGGGATCAACCGGCGTAGGCCTAACGGCAAGCATTGTATCAGATAAGAACGAAAGACGATTAGAGGCGGGTGCGATGGTGCTAGCAGATAACTCTATAATTTGCATCGATGAATTTGATAAGATAAACTACAACGATTCTGTAGTTTTGCACGAGGTGATGGAACAACAGAGCATCAGTATTAACAAGGCAGGGATACACGTCACTTTGAACGCACGAGCCGCAGTTTTGGCGGCCGCAAACCCGGTGTATGGTAATTTTGTGGACGATGCGCTGGAGAAACAGGTGAAAATACCGGAGAGCCTCCTGAGCAGGTTTGATCTGATATTCCTGGTAATTGATGATGGTTCGTTTGATTCGCAGATTGCTGATCAGGTGCTGCGCAACCACAGCAGCTCGTCAGATCTCCAGGATGACCGTGTGTTCGATTTAAGCAAGTTTATTTTCGAGTGCAAGAAGTACAAACCAAGAATACACAAGGAGTTCGCTCGTCTGACCAGTGATTGTTGCGTGAAGATGAGCAAGCTTGAAAAGACCGTTGCTCTAAGTATGTCTTTTCTATTGTGATAAAATTGATCTGAAAATTGGCAAGTATACTCGCTATGGTAAAAATACGAATGATACGAGTAATCGATGGGCATCGAAAGATCATAGAGAAATGCATCATTCGACAGTGTTCATTGCCATACGTGATTGACTCACGAGCAGTGTGCAATAGAATGACAACACAATTTGCAGTACGTGTCAGTGGCGCGAACGTGTAATCACACACTACCATATCATGCTTTGTAGCTCGCAATTCTCGCTTCGATAAATCATTAAGAACTCGCAGCGGGCTCTTCAAGAGATAAAAACCGACGGTCGAAAGGCCAGCAGACTTTTCATCATCTGTGACCGGTCCACAGCCTGGTTGGTGCATCGTGCAATCGCATTCAGCACACAAAAATAAAAATTACTAAGCGATAATCGTGCACATCAAGCGCAGACATGAGTAGAAACTAACAAACATCAGACAATAGAACGGTATGTACGCTTCGCTCAACGAACAACGGCGGTTGGTGTTTATATAAGAGAATATAGATCAACACAATCATGAATAAGATTCAGCGAGCGTGCAGTGGTGCATACACACCAGGTTTGAAGATTAACAGGTAGATCCAAACTGTATTGCGAGCGCTTTTACTCAATTATCGCGTGTTCTTAAACTGGCTGACAGCTCATAAGGTCTTATACATGTGAAAATATGCGTGATTTGTACCTATCAGGCATACCAAGAACCATAACAAATAAGTACAGAAATCAAACTTTCAGCACATAATTGTTGTGACACTGCTAATACAACATGCAGGCAATCAGTCGTTTTACCACTTCTAGTCTGTAAATGGCTGTAATAGATAACCTAAATTTATTTATCTCCATTCTATAAGTTAACAAAAAGGATCACAATATTCGTACATAGCACTATTATCCGTTTCAAATAGTGTAGTAACACAGGAGATGTAATGGAACAGGTGATCAGTATTGCATTTGTGTTTATCATGGTGTGTGCATTCAGACATACTTATCATGGGATAACTATGTAGCAAGACTGGTGTGTTATGGTGGTCAAATTGGTAGATTAGCATGTCTTGGCTTCCAGGCACAGGAGACAGATTTATATGAGGATGAGAGATCTGAGCTGATGGGTTTGGCAATGTATTGAGTTCGTGGTATCACAGGGATGAACAGTAAACAGTTGCTTTAGATCATATTTGTGGAATGGATAGTACATATGTGGATAAATATTTGACCAAAATCACACAGGAATCAGACAGCTTTTATCGTGTGGAGGGGATGCCATCTACCAGATGAACGAAATGAGATCCAGTTTCAAATCCAAAAACTGATGATCAGCCTGAACGTAACAGACGAAAAGACTGACGCATGCACCGTTTCGTGAGCTAGATGCCCAGCTGGGGATCCTCAACTAAATACATGTGTCCAATGGCTGTATGCGTTTCAAGATATTTGTTAAAAGATGCAATGCGCATGTTGAGGATAATAACAAATCCGTTGGGAATAAAAACATGCTATCGCATTGGTTGTTATGCCCTTTTCATGGCAACTTCGCTAATTCTTCA